AGAGGTCTGCACGCCATGTGGGACCCTCCTCTGGTGGCCGGGGAGCAGCCGGGGATCGAACCGGCGCCGCAGAGGCCGCGGGCAGCTTCGCAACCCAGCGCTCAACCACTGCGCCACCGGGGAGGCCCCTCTCTTCATTTTCTTAACAGTGTCTTTGCAAAGTTTAAAACTTAAGCAAAGTCAAATTTATCAATATGTTGTGGGCTGTGATTTTAGTGTCTAAAAATCTCTTTGCCTAATCTTAAGCCATGAAGATTTCATCCTATGCATTCTAAAAGTTTTATAGTTTTGTGTTTTTTACATTTAAATATCTGATTCACGAGTTACTTTTGTCAAAGACTTGAGGTTTCAATTGAGGTTCATTTATTTTATACATAGGCAGCTGATAGTTTAACACTTTGTTGAAAAGACGTTTATTTCTCCACTGAATTTCTTCTGTACTTTGTCTTCCCTTCGATTTTTCTCAGAGATTGTGCAGAATTGATGTGATTTCTTCTTTAGGTATTTGGTAGCATTCACAGTGAAATATCTTGGCCTGGAAATTTGTATTTCAGAAGGTTTTTAAACAATAATTCTTTGATAGGGGCTTTCTTCCACACATTTTAATAAGCTGTATTTTCACTTTCAATCAATTCAAAATATATTTTGGTGAGAAAGCTGGGCGGGGGCTATTGTGGCTTCCGTCGACCAGACCACTTGGGGTATCCAAAGTTCCCTGATGTAGGTCACGGTACCACGAGGCTCCAGCTGTGGCCCTGTTCACTGGCAGGTGCAGCAGGCTGAGTGGGAGGCACTCCCTGGCATAGCTGGGGACAGCTGGAGGAATCCTCTTGTAGCCAGTGATATTTAGACATGAGACTTTGTAACAACTACTTGACTACTCAAGACACACACTTTCAATTCCATCTAATTGAGTAACAAACAGGCAAGGCATGACTGAATCACTGTGGACCGTTCCATTATTTAGGCAGTGCTATCTTGCTAAATACATGTCTGCAACTCCTACTAAATTGTTTTTATGCATTCAAAATTTTTGAGCACCTAATGTGCATGAGGGTATGTTCTAGGTGCTAGGGGTACAGCAATGAATAAAACAGGTAATAGTCAAACTCCCTTAGAATTTGCATTCTAATTTGGGAGTGAGGCAACAGCAGTGTTATAGAGAGCAAAGCAGTACTACAAGGAGAAAAGGAGGTGATGCATTATTGATTAGTATGGGGGAGCAGACTAGACAAACTGGGGTATAAGTCAGGGTCTGATAAGAAAATTACCACTAATATAACACACACACACACACCTTTAATATGTAAAAAGGATGTATTCTAGGGATTGTAGAGGCTGTTCATTTGTGCCTTGAAGTCAAAAAGCAAAGAAGGATGTGAGAAGTAAGGATACAGTGGAATCTGCCAGTATGGAAAGAACTTAAGGGTAACTGAGTAGAACTCATGGGGTTGAACTGGCCCAAGAGTCAGAGAAGCAGAACGAGGGCATTCCTGTGGGTCTGGCTGTTGGCCCATAGGCCAAGAAGATGAGCAGGTAGACAAGCCGCGACGTGGGTGAGCAACAGTACATGTGATCCTTGGGCCTTTCAATGTTAAAAAAAAATCCGGCTATTTTACTTCTACACTTACTGCAAAGATCTCTTGGGACCCACACTATCCTGAAACTATGCAAAGGGAATTGTGAGGAACACATCTCCAGCTTAGCTACATTGGCACTATATCAATCTGCCACAGATGACCCAAGGTCTCAGAGATATTTGCTCTGAGAACCTGAAGGATGATGATTCAGCCATGCAACCAGGCAAAGACTGGAAGAAAATAGTCCAGGCAGAAGTAGCTAGTGCAAAGGTCCTGCAGCAGCAATACATTTTTTGAGGATGAGGCTGGGGTATAGTGAGAGGGTGATATGAATAGAGACAGAGGCAGGACCAGACCAAGGGGGCCTGGAGAACATGGTCACAGCAGGGGGTCACTTGTTTTCTAAGTGTGAGGAGAAAGAAATGGAGAAAATAAAGATTTTTAACAGGGCAGTAGTAGTTTGACCTGATTCACGTTTCTTTCACTCTAAGTATTTTTAAATTTTAAGGAAGGCATGAGGTTAAGCACAATGCAGTCCTTCCTTCCGGTGATTTCCTCTTTGCTTTGTGGAGGCAGCACTCCTGCAGCTGGCTATGTGATGCCCTGGAGTTGAGCAGAGGAGGTGGTGTGGGCAGGCAGCACTATCGCTGCGGGAGCTACTCAGGTGGCTCAGGCGAGCAAATCTTCCAAGCGGATGTTCAGGCCTCATAGGAAGATCAATTTCCATTCGTGAATTCATGTTGGCACCCCAAACTGTTAACCTCTTCAGATCTGGTCACAAAATTGATTGGCTAGCCTATCAATTGTCAATAACAGACAAAAAAACCTCAAAGATTTGGCACCACTGACGCTGTTTAGAGAACGTTTCACCAATTATTCCAGATTTGCAAAGAATTTGCAGGGAACATGCACCTTCCTGAGGGAAACGCGTTGAAGGGACCAAGATTTGTGTTCAAGCGCAGGTTCAGGTCTCAAGCTGTTACAGTTGGTCTTAGACTTACATCCTCTGATTTCAACAGACTCGGCTTGCTTTTTTGAGATCACGAGAAATGTTCCTACTGCAAGCTCTTCTGCTCAGTATGTTTCCCCTTCCTCACAGTAGACTAGCTGGAAGTCAAGGTTCCAACACTGTTGCATGCTGAGGTGCACAGATGTTCAAGCTCAGTCTGATTTCAGAATCTGGACTTAAGGTTCAAGTCAAGAGCCAGAGTTAACTAAGGAGAGCTGGCCATTGGCCCGGGAAGCACACGCACCCCACAAGGGCTCAGCCCATCGGCAGGTGAAGCAGAGAAACGAGAGAGCAGCCAGGTGGCTTCAGCCAGGTGGCTTCTGTGCTGCGCTTGGTTATAGGGGGCCGGTTGTGCGGGAGGGCTCAGTGATGACTTCAAAGGGCCTGAGTCCCAGCAGGCCCTCTGCTAAGTGGGAATTAGCATGATCCTACACATCAATGCAGGTGACCACCTTCCTCTATTGTCCTACAGGGAGAAAATAAATGCTTCTGGTCGAGGGAGGTGGGGAGCTCTGGAGAGACCACTCATCTTCTTGGGGAAGAAAGTATAAAGTTAGATAAGAAGCTTTATCTGACAGAGAAAGAAAAGGAAAAAGCATTGATCTTTAATTAGAGTTGAGAGAGTATACTTTCTTCGATAATGTGGTGACAGATCTGCATGTAAACATTCAGAAAGAGAAAAGGAGAGATGCTGTGTCAGGACTAATGCACTGTGAGTTTTGAACTCTAATTACTAAAACTTATCGACAACTGTTTCATATATTTATTAACAACTGCTTTCCTTCATTTAACATTATTTACTGAATAACAAAATAAATTATCAGTAAAGCAACCATAAATTAAAAAAATAATGAAAGCAAAAAAAACCTGTTAAAGTTTCACAGATGCAAGCACAGTAATATATTTTATAACTGTTGATAACAGTTTCTATGTTAGATTATTTGCTTCCCATTGTTTCAAGTTCACAAAATTTAGGAAAAGGCTTCACCTTTTTCCCCAGCTTAATCAGCTGTACCTCAGTTGAACACAACAGTCACAGGGGTTATTAGAGATGTGGTAAAAGAAAAAGGTCACGACCACACAGCAAATCATGTAAACTTAAAATATACCTCTGGCTTTCCAGTCTCAACCTGTAGCTGCAGTTTATTAAATAATTTACAAAGAACTGTTAGATGCCTTAATAAGCAGGCTGAACTTTGTCACTGTGCCATTTTGCTAGTCACAAACACATATATTTTGCCTTTAAATATTCATTTCCAGTGTGGCTAGGTGTAAGGAAAAACAAAGATGAAAGCCAGATATTTTTAAGTTGTGCCACATTTTTTTTTTAGCTATTTAATTAAAATGTTAACCAGATCAGCACACCATTTCTTGCTTAAAATTGTAATACCCTTGAAAGTAGATAAAAATATTTTTTTTAAGCCAGAGGTAGAAATGAAAAGGCCAGGACAAGCTGACAGACCACAGCAGAATAATAGCTAATCAGTGACCATTAATGGGAATACTCTCTTCACACTGCAGGTCTCCACAACCGTTTAACAACCCTTTAAACAGGCACTTGGTAGAGTATGTTTTAGCTAGAATACACAATCCTGGGGCATCACACAGAGGAAATACGGCTTTATTACAAAGGATTCAAGATGGCAACCACTTAGAATCTAGTGCCAACACGGATTATAACAAATCCAGTGAGTATTTTGTTTTTTCAATTATTCATAGAAAATTTAATCCTGATTAAGTATCCTTGGGCAGGAATTCATGGGTAGTTGATGACTGAAACTAACATTTATGTGAAATGCTTCTGTTAATTTAATCTGTGTATACGGCTTAATTATGATTGGGGATTCAATGTAAGAGAAATGAATTATATCGGGATTAAAATTTTAGTACCCTATCACATGTTACTTTCCTTCTTTCTTTTAAAACATGTAAACCTGCTTGTCCCTTCTCCTAAGTGCTCAGATTTCAAAACCCTTTGTCCTTGCAATGCATGTAATGCATCTACGTTTTATTTTTCATAAATAAATATGTCAGAACTCTTTGCTAATTAAGCTAAAAACCTAAAGTAGAGTCTAAACTGATAGGAAAAAGATGGAGACTCCCTTGGCCACAAATAAAAAGCTTATTCATTTAACTGTGAACATGTTTCATATTCATTTTCTGAAGTAATTTCACTTTCAGTTCCTTTTAAACTTCATTACGAAATGCATTTTCCTTAAAGCATAAAACGAAGCAGCTTTTAATCAGTGTACTACACTGATTTTGTAATTGAACTTGGTTTAGATATGGATAAGCAAGTAATCATTTAACTGATTACTTTGTGTGAGAGTATCAAACCTGAGTTAACTATAGATGATGAGGCTATTATAAGTATTGAATCTCCTACCAAAATATCATATAATACTTTCATCTTTATTTCCAATTGGAAATTGCATAAATCAGCTTATAACAATGTTCTTTCTTAAAAGTTTATTAAGTATATTTCAAACATACCATTTGTTACCTGTTTTCAGTTTTGGTACTGCTTAAATGCAGTTATATAAAATAACATGCTCTGCTTTCTCGGTTCAATTTTTCATACCAAAAGTATGAAAACAAAGTCACTGCACATGGATCCTTATTGCACTCTGTTAAACCAATTCACTCTTCTTTTAGACAAAATCGAGCGTCAGAAGTGAGACCGACTTTTGTGTCCAGACGAGATGGTCAGTGGTAGAGTTACCGAGGAAAGTGAGGAAACCTCCCAGTATAGACTTTGGGATAGAAAGAGTCTGTAGAGAATAACCATGGAAACAGACTGGCAGAGGATAACACCTATTGTGACAATCTGAAAAGAAAAGAAAAGAAAGGAATGCCTTAATACATGTAAGAACAGGGAAATCATCTTCAATTTATCATGAACATACATATGCTTTTTACATATACATGCTACTCCATCCCCCATCTGCACATGGGGACATTCATCAAAAAAACTTTCAATAGGGAAATACATCTAATGTTCAGAACTGTGATTGCTCAAAGGTAAAATTCCTGGGTTGCTGGCCAGGGAGCAACCCACATGGCGAGGCAGATCTCTCCTATCTCATCTGCTGCTCCCCTCAGCAGTGTTATTTCAGTCAGTCTGCCTATTCTGTTTCCCGCTGTCTCTGGTGAATCCTCTCACCCCCCACATCTCTGGCCTGTACCCCAGCTCTTGTATGCATAAATCAATCTTTAAAAAAAAAAAGAAAAATCAGTTCTTGGCTAATTTAGTAACAGGGATAAAGATGAATCTTGAAGATTACTCTAAAAGCCCTTTCAAAAATTCTCAAGTCTCTTCTCTATTCCTGTAGACAAACTTCCTATCCATTTACCCTCTGTAAGTATCTCAGGCTCAGTAAATACCTGTGCGTTTGAGCACGCACCGCACAGCTTGTGAGGGCTCCTGGCAAAATCCACTTGGAAATGATCACCTGAGGGGGTTGCAACACAATGGGTATGGGACCTACTTGAGCAGGCTGCTCCACTCTGCAGTCTATTAAAACAACCAGACTGAGTTTATAAATCTATCTCGTTTTTCATTTGTATATTTATGTAGCAAGAGTTTAACCATTTTTTCTTAAAGACACGTTGTATTTTCTAATTTAATTTATAAAACAATATTATGAAGTAATAGTCTAAAACAGTATTATGAAATAAGCTAAAATGAAAAATAACAAAATCTATTTGCCATCTTTGGCTTATAAGCTAAATTTTCAAATTTTTCTTTTAGATTTTAAATTTCTAATTTATATACTCATCGGTTCAATATTTTGTTTCACAGTTTTACTTTAAGGAACTCAAGAAACCTCTGAAAGGATAAATACACCGTTCTGACTTTAGAAACTTCTCAAACACTAGAAAAAACTGTTATGATGAGGTATGTTACTTACCTTATCTCTTTGGTAGTCACTAAAAACAATAGAAATGCAAGCAAGACCTGGATGGCATAGAAACCACAAGATACAGCCCTGAAATAAATGAAAAACAAGTCAAGTAAGTACATCCGTATTTTTATTTCAGAACATAACTCTATAAAACACATTACTGGCATATTTAGGAGATCCTGACTGATCTCATTGAGCATTTAGAGCACAACTTGCAAGAAAATGTGGACATAAATTCGCTGTGCTGTGACATAATACTTTGCTTCTAGTTAAATGGGTATTTTTGGAGTATTCAAAATCTTAATATTGGTATCACTCTCATACATTCATTTCTGATATACTACAAATACATTAGTGTGAATAATGAATTGATAATTGAGACGAGCACATTAGGATGTATATAATATTGCTGTAAAAACAAGATAAATTAAGACTCCACATTCATATTTGCAGGTAGGGAGCATACACAAAAAATTAATTACCAGTGGTTGCCTATTGAAGGGTTAGTATGGGGAGAGGAGGCTTGGGCAAGTAAACATGATACTTTTCAAGTATTTCTTTTCCATTTTTCTTAGAACCTTGGTAATATTCTCTTTTCCGAAATTCAACTTGCAATAAAAAATAAGTTTAATAAGTAGTACTGATGGAGATGCTTAGTACATTGAAGATGAAAATAAATCATTATGTAGAAAAATGTGCTTTGTATATTATACTTTCTATAAAAATGGAAGAAAACGTACAATGACATGCCAAAAACTCCCTGGCAGGGTCCATTAGGGTTAACAGCTACTAAATGAGGAGGTGGTAACTGGGTCAATGGGAGAGAGGCAAGACACACACTTGGCTACTCTTTTAAATACTTCTCGCTCTTTGAATCTATTGAAAAAGTTGGAACAGAAAAATATTTTTAAGTTTGATTTTGTTTAAAACATAAAACAAAAAAATTTAGTTTCTAATCACTTTAAACATGTACAAATTTTTCAAACAACAGTCACTCGCTACTGTCCCCATGAAAAATTCAAAAGCGAATGGCATTTTCTTGCTGTTTGGTCTCAGAAGCCTGAAGTGGGTTCCTCTGGCTGGAGCAGCGGCTTGAAGATGCTCCACAGCAGGAAGAGAGGAGGCATCTGGACCAGCCCAGGCTGACTAAATGGCTTATCACGGTTGTTAGCTTGTGCTCTGAATTGCCAAGATGAGGGCAAACCGACAGAAAACATCGCCTTCCAGGGAGGTAGGTGCCTGCTCTGTTCCTTTATTAAATGGCAACGAAAAAAAATCAAATTTGCTTTTGGATGCACCTGCACAAGCAGGGTACAGAGAGGGGGACCACGGTGAGTATGGCCTCACAAGGTCGGAGAGAAATGGCTGAAACAGAACTGGCACTGGCCTCATGCTTCATGCGCTGAAGTGGGAGGATAGGTCCTCGCCGTGCGCTACAAAACAGGGCATTATGCCGAGACCAACAGTTCAGAGTCAGTAACTTCATTTTTCAGAAGTGCAAAGCATGTCTAATTTTTTTTAGTCTTACAAATTCTGATACTACGAAAAAAACATGCAATCCCTATTGATAAAGAAATTATGATGCAGTCAAAATGGACCTGTTAAAGATTACATGGAAACTATTATTCTGCAGGTCCTGGAGATTGTGGATAAGAATATCTACATCTCACAGGCTGGGAAGATGAAATGAGTTGAAGCACATAAAGGGCTCAGAGTTGAGCCTGGCACAGAGCAAGTTTAATGAGTGTCAGCATGTCAGCTCTCAATAACTCCGCCGAGAAAGCAGAATGGAGATTACAGTAAAGAGCCACCTTCTGCCCATACTTTGGCGAATGTGGTGTAGAACTCCCTCTTCAGTGTACTCCTCTCCACGGTGATGATCTGGTACAGCCCACAGCCTAATGACAATGCCAGGCAAACTCTTAAAATGATCAGAAGGATCCCCGCCAGGTTGTGGTGTGCATGGTAGCTGTGAGGACTGGTATCTTCAAACTGTTCCCAAAGTAGCAAAATACTCTGCAAAAAACCAGTATTATGTTTAAAGGGAAAAAAAAACCAACATACTCACCTGCAATAAAGAACTTTTTCATCTCTTTTTTTAAAATCCCCTTATATAGCATCTAAACACCCCTAAGAGGTGGTAAATGTTATCACTTTAAGCACAAGCATAGACTTTTCCCGGCTGATACCCTAAACTAGAGAAAAAGGATTTTTATCAAATAAGATCGCATACAAAAGAAAAAAACATGCTATTACTACCAAGCAAGACACTGCTAAGGATAAAAATCAGATGAAGAGACTGAGAATAAGTATAAAGGTTCTTCTATCACGCTCTCTCACTTCAGCTGCATATTAGGAAGGAAACTGTTCTCCACTCAAGCCCACTGTCTTATGATAATATTCAATTATGTCAGGATCTTTATTTTAATGAGTCAGAATTGTTGACTTCAGATTTCACTCTTTTCCCACAGTGACCTCCCTGGGTAAAGGAGACTGGATTTTTAATATTCACTGTAATTTAACCAGGGTGCTGTTATTCACCCTTATTTGTTTGTTGACTTCCCTGCCCCCATTATTGTTACTGTAACAATAAACAGTAAAAAGCTCAACAAGGTCCTCATTAAACTCTTCTGTTTATTGCTATTCAGTAAAGAATCAGTGTCCATGTTCCCTCCGTCTTACCAAACATCAATCACTTAGCTTCTGTAATGATTTTACCATCATATGTCAGTAGCCCCTGTGCTGCCTTCATTTACTAAACTGGCCCTCAGAACTGAGTCCCCAGTGACTTCCAAAGAATTTAGATCAAAACTCAGTTATTAAATCTAATTCTTAGGCTAGGGGGTTTGCAGCAACCTCTCCCTTTCTTCTTCTCAAATCTACCCTAATCTTACTCGTGATACCTGGACGCTGCTGTCATCCTGCCATGTGAGTTTCCCTCCTGGGATGGATACTTGCTATTACAGAAAGTGTTACTCCTACACTCTGCCCAACTACACCTTCCTGATTCCTCAACCTACGCTGATTTCTAAACCTAACTTTATAAAAAAAGAAATGATTATGAAAGGATTATTTCTGGCATGCATGTGAGGAGACGGATATGTTAACTCAATGATTAAGCGATCATTTCAGAATGTAGATGGGTATTGAAACATCAAATTGTACACCTTAAATATATACAATTTTCTATTTGTCAAGTATACCCTAACAAAGTTGGAAAAAGCCCTATTATTCCCTCCTAGTTACATGTTTAGTTGTTCAAACTGCCATGATTTCATGCATGTATGCTAATATGTGACCTGCAGAACGCACACATGTATTTACGCGGCCTCACTGTCTGTCTCATCTGCCTTCTGTTGAAGACTGAGGCCCTGTCTAATGTAGTCTTTATAATGCTCGCATAGGGTGCTGTCACACTCAATTTCTATTTGCCTATGATGTGAGTTAAAGTTACCATGATAAAATTCAATTTTTAAAAAGGCTATTAATTGAAAAATGAGAACTTAACCTGATATTAACCCTATTCTCCATATATCCTGGATCAAAAACATTGTTAGTAGAATCTTGCCCTTATTTGAAACACGTCAATTTCAGTTCTTTCTCATTAGCTCTTCCTTCCTGACATCCTGTCCTTTCTAAATCTGTGTTATGGTCTCTTTCTAATTCAGTCACATAAATCCAGTACACCTACTTCATTCAGCATCTACTGCACTGAAAAAAAACTAGTGAGGTAACAATAAATAAAGCACAGATCTCACCCTTCATTTATGAATTTTTCAACTTATAAATACATTAAAAGTTGGACTGCAGTGTCCTTTACAGAGCCAATGTATATTTTATCTTCATTAACAGCTAATGATGGTTACAAACTCAATATACCTAATTTTATGCTTTTGGTTTTAAATTTTTATAACTCCACTGCACATGGGCACATGGAGATCCTAGAATAATGTCTACAGTATTGTTATAGAAGAAAACAAAAATACAGAGAGGCCCTTTTAAAAAGGGCAAATTTGGTTTTGTATTTATTATCAAAAACAAGATCCTGTTCTTTTTTATCCTACGTTTTCCTTTTTCCATTCAAAAGGCCTAAAGATCCCTGTTAGGAAACGAACTGCAAATCCAGAGTCACTTAATGTTGAGTACTTACTAAGTGTTAGAAAACATAAATGATAACTATTAAGCAGGAAATGAGCATCTAAAATAACATTAAATATACTGTGCTTACATAAGTTACTAAGAAGCTCAAATTCAGTTAAATTACAATTAAATTCTACAATTTACATATGCTAGCACTCAGAAGATTTAACTGGTTGTTTGGACACTCGACACATAGTCTTTAGGATCCCAGGTTTCAGTTTTGAAATGAGGTTATGTTCAGGCCTGCATTTCTGAACACCAGCAGACTGATACGCATCAACACTCACCTGTGTTATGACAATGAACACAGCAATGCCAGTGGATGCAGGAGTAGAATCCCACTGAAGAGGTCTGCTCTGAGACTTCTTCATTCTGACTATTGTCCAACCCATGCACAGACTCAGAAGTAGATATAACATCTGAATTTGAGATGCGATGTCAAAAACTAATGGAAAATGAGAACCAAGTGAAGCAAGTTTTCACGATAAAATGAATCTGATCCTTTTTCCATCAAAAAAATACCATTTTTAACCACAAATAGATAAACATTGTCAAAGAGAAGCACATGAAATTCAGTAAGAAATATTCAGTGAAAAGAATATATGCAAGTCATTAAAAATGGCAATACTTCCATTTAAAATCATTTACAAAGATACAGGGAGATTTATTGTTTGCCTTAATAAAGACATATGCCTGTATGTCTTTATTAAGGCAAACAATAAATCTCCCTGTTTCTTAGTTTTTCCAACTACGTATTTCTACTTATAATTCACTACTCATTTAAGAAAAACACTGTAATTCTGAAATGGGGATAGCACCTTCACTTCACTTCTGGGATTTTTGATGGCTGAACTAAAATGTGAAGGGTATGTTTTGAAACTATTCATAGAAGCAGCAGGACAATGAAAGCACAGCAGCAGGCACAGGCTGAGAGGTGGCTGCAGTGTCAGAGCCCTAAGCTGGCACCTGAGTGCAATGTGCCCCCAGGTGGTCGTCACTCACACTGCAGGGCAGCGGCTACTGCAGAGAGGGAGCAACAAACCTGCCTGCGTCAACCCTGATTCTATAGCTAAGTCAAGTTTGATGAGTATCTTAGAAGTCAATATTTATTGATTTCAAGAAAAGATGATCACATTCTCACTAGTGTCCTTAATGTGAATTTCGGAATGAACTTCTGATCACAATTTAACAAAACAGAACTTTCCTCAAGTTGCTATTCATAACTTTGAAGTCTATAACTTTTGCATTCTTGGAGAAACAGATAAAACTAATTATAGTATAATTGTTATACTATGAATTTAAAAATTTTAAATTGCAAGTCAAAAACCCATTAGTAATATACCCTTTCAGTTATAGTTTGACATGTCTTACCCTTGTTCTGAATTCTGATAATGACCTATCACTACATTTGATGATATGTCATATTCTTTCAGTTCAAGCACAATTTTCTTTCATCACAGATTTTAAATGACTGTGATGTCAATTATTTTTATTAAATATTTATTAAATATTCAGTTACTCAAAGAAGTTGGCCAAAGAATTATTACCATGCATGTGCCATTTAGCAACATTTACCTGGGGGGAAAAAACCGATTTCCTGGCACTTCTTTACATACTAAGCAATGCACGTATTGCCATGATATCATAATTGTGAAGACAGAGGACACCAATAACTGTTGTTGAGAAATAACTAATTCCAGATAAAATTTACAGGTCACACAAAAGTCCCTATCTGTGGGAGATGATTAAAAATCTTAAAATTGCAATCATTTAACTAAGCAAACCTTTTGTCAGAACTACTGAAATTTTGCACATTGATTTATTATAGTTTTATAATCAAAAATCTCTGCTTTTTAACCTTCAGTGAAGATGTTAGGAAGCCTAAAACTGTTTTATTTTTGTATGCAGACAAGCACAAAAATCCAAAAGTCCTTGATTTACTAATACCTTTGCCACTAATGGGTTCCCATGTGCTTTGCCTCTTTGGAGTTCAATCTCTTCATCTAAAGTGCATAAGATAAATTATTTCAAAGGTTCTGTCCAGCTTTAAGATTCTATAATCCTATTAGACATCCAGAATTATCTAAGAGAGAACAGTGGGCAATACCAGGGCTCTATATAACGTTGACGGAAAAGGAAGTCTTGTTCCTCACAGTGTACATCACTTTCACAAGGAAGACGAAAGGTTCTAGAAGTTTCAGAATCTTTTTTTTTTAAAGATTTATTTATTTATACAAGCACTGGATACAGTCAGAAGCGTGGAGGGTGAAAGAATTCACCAGAGCCAGAGCGGAGAGCAGAACAGGCAGACTGATGAAGTACACTGCTGAGGGGAGCAGTGGGCGGCAGGAGAGGTCTGTGTGCCATGTGGGACCCTCGCCCAGCGGCCGGGGATCGAACCGGCGCTGCAGAGGCTGAGGGCAGCCTCGCAACCCAGCGCTCAACTGCTGCGCCACCGGGGAGGCCCGAAGTTTCAGAATCTTAAAGGAGGCAGCAAGATCAGGATAAGCAGATCTGAGATGATTACAGAGTAATCTGTAAGATACTCTTTATAGAGAGTGAGGATACCACAGGAAAAATATGGAGGTAGAAGGGTGTGTAAATTCTAGAATAGTTTTATACTCAGAATCTCCTTTTTTAGAGTAAATCTTAAACAGTTTTTCAGGACTGAGAATGACATGTGATCTGATGTCCCTCTGAAGTTCTCTTGAAAAAGTCACAGCTATGAGAACTTGGAAGTATTTTTCCCATCATACTTTATCAGAAAATTACTTCATACGAGTTCCTCTTATAAATGAAAGAACAGGTTGTGAGGTCAGCTTAACTGTAGGTCTCCTCTATGGACTTCAAAAGATAGAACCTTTGCAATAAATTACTTAGATGAGGATAAAATAGAATAAAACACTTTAGATAAAATAGAATAAACTTTAGATAAAATAGATAAAATTTTAGATAAATTTTAGATATAATAGAATAAAACACTTTAGATAAAATAGAATAAAACACTTTAGATGAGGAAACTGAGCTCTGAAAAGGTAAAGGGCACAGAAATAGAGAAAAAGGGTCAGAAGAAAGGATGACAACAGGGGAAAAAAAAAAACACCATTGCGTCAGAAACCTTGGGTCTCTGTCTTGGCTCCCACTCACTGAGTGACACTGGGAATGTGTCCACATCATCAAGCCCAGAGTCTTTGTCAGCAAAGTGTGGATGAGCTTGTCTACTTCTCTGTGCTTTTACTAAGGATAAAATGAGAACACAAGTCAATGTGTTCTGAAAATAATGACAAGCGACACATAAGAAGGAACTAAGCAGGACATCTAAGAACTAAATCTGTAGCCTGTTTTCAGAGGAGCTGAAATCTAAATAATCCTTGATTTAAAAAAAAAAATTATTATGACAAAAAGCAACTTAAAAGAAAGGCAAACAAAGAAGAAGCAGACAAAGCAAGTTTATGTTTGGAAAAAATGCTCAGAAAGATACTCACATTCTGCCAAACTTCCCATAAAAGGTACCCCTATTCCGTCTTTGGAGTAACTGAGGAATTGAAGAGGAGAGTATTAGTGTAAATTACAAATGTGAAAAAAAAAGTTCATAATCAAAGCAAGCATAATTTTGGTGGACTAATTAGGATTAATTAGACGTAATGATGAACACAGTTTGAGTGGTTTTGAGTTACCTGGAGAAATGAATGTAATTAGCTAAAGCTGAACCAGCTTGTAACAGCAATGCAGTTGTCAGAACCTTTAAAATCATGCGCATGGGTCCTCCTTTCTTAATAGCCTGCCACAATGACTGAGCATAAATGCAAGCAATCACAAAGTACACTAGGACTAGTAGGAAAAAGAACTCATGTAATCCTGTAAGAGAAGAAAGGAGTTTGCTTCAGTAAAACAAGCCAGTTATAGTGTTGGGTTGCTTTCAAATCTTCCTGTCAATATATTTCCAGAACTTGCTTTTTAATTGGAGTAATAGCATTCACTTTTGTAAGAAAAATATGGGGGGGGGGGATAATTCTTGAAATTTCCTACTATGGGATAAAGTTTTAACTCTATGTAGGTAGATTCTGTTAAAGCCAATCTATAAAAAAGCATAGTGGTCAGGGAGTACGCCAGAAGACTACCCATAAGATCACTGTTATGTGCAAGACAGTATGTCAATCAATTACTTCCAGCATTCAATTAGATATACATTGTATTTCCTAAATGAATTTTTTTTACAAGATTAGAAACGGATTTCTTCAATAAACAAGTATAATATACCCTGACAATGGTTCTCAAAGTGTGGTCCCTGGGCCAGGAGCAGCAACATCACCAGGGAACTTGTTAGAAATGAAAATTCTGAGACTTCATTCCAGATCTATTAAATCAAACTATGGGGGTTAAGGCCTGGCAATCTTTATTTTATGAGTCCTTGGGTGATTCTAATGCAGCAAAGTATGAGAAAACACAGCTCTGGAATGTACCATTACCTTAAATTTCTATGTGGACAAAACTTGAAAATACTTGTGAGGACGGAAGCCGCCTACCACAGTCAACTGCCTGCAGCACTTGTCACAGAGGAAGCCCTCAGGGGACCTGGGCTCCCCTCCACAGTTACCTGAACTACTATACGGGCCAAATGGCCACCAATCCCAAGACCAGCCCCTCTACAGCATAACATGGTTCTCAAAAGACAAATTAGGCTAATCGTAGTGTTCTGGGAAATCAACCACAAAACATGGAAAGGATGATGCAATTGATACCGAAGTTGATGCTGGGACAGAGCAGAGGAGTCAAATTAGGCCACGATGAAATCAAAGTTTCAGGTAAGCAGAAATTTCAGATGAACAAAGTAAGCTGGCTGGTAAAGATAAGAACAAAGTAAAAGTGCAGAGTTTATATTAAAAGTGGTGCCTGTCAGTCAGTCATTAAGTACACTCTAGCTCCTCCTAGCAGCTCTGTGTGTCCTTACACAAACACCCCCTTTTCTGTGTTACCTGAACTGTCTTGACTGTGTCTTCATCTTTCAGAAGTTTCAGAAAATTTTCATGTAGTGCAGAAGGCTAGCTCTCAGTTTAATGGCTTAGATTTACTTGGTTACAGCTAAAGTCAGAGCCTCATGTTGGGGCTTTTATATTCTACTGCGAGCCCTGGAGGGTAGTAAGAGTGGCGATGGACAGAGCTGTTGCTCCTGAGTCTGTGGGTGAACAGTCTGAAATGCAATCATTCCACTCCGACTGAGAACACTGAACCAGCTTCAGTTTCCAATTGGGTAAAAATGCCAACTGACAGGCGGAGACGCGAATATTTCCATTACACAGAAAATAATTTTGGAGAAGCAATTTAGAAAATGCAAGGAGTAGGAAAAATAATAAATAGTTCAATCTTAATCATATTTTTGGCATGGTTAGGAGAAAAGAAAGAAGAGGCGAGGAGTGTTTCAGCCACTGGGTGTCTCTCTTGCTCTGTGCACATAAATGTCCACAGTCCGCACTCACGTGCAGGTGAAAAAGCAGCTTTCAACTTCCTAGAAGGAATTATGCTCAGTGAAATCAGCCAGAAGGAGAAAGAAAAATATCAGATGGTTTCACTTATAACAGGAATATAGGGGAACCAAATAAGACATCAGTGTAAAAAAAATGATGACAGTACAAAACACAACAAAGCAAAAACAATTATAAACCAGAGACATCCTGCAAGGAGGAGGCGGGAGAGGGATCAGAGGGAGGGAGGGAGGAGCACAGGGGACTGTGGTGATGGTGCACGGGTGCCTTGGGGCAGGAGATTCTATGGGGACTCAATCTGCGGGGGTGGGGGGGAAGCAATTATTGTCTAAAAAATGTAAAAAATGATAAATGTTAAAATAAAAAAATAATTAAAAAATAAATAAATTAAAAAAAAAACAAACTTTCTGAACAGGAGTGCAAATAACAGAAGTGATATATTTCCTTTTCAAACTCCTTATATAGGAAGTATTTCAGTTTTAGAAAAAATGAGGGCAGAAGAAAAAAACAGCAAGTCTGGAGACATTCTAAATATGTAACTGTGGTCAGTAAAATTCTTTATGTCCTTCGAATCTTAGAATCTTAGTTTTTAATCTGTCCTTCTTGGTACAAAGAATTAATACACGGTATTCTATTTAAAGTTTTGTCTATTTTTAACACTTTACAGACTATACATTACAAGAGAACGTTTCATTCTCTGTTAGATTGTACACATCCACCATTATTTAAAAAAGTCCTCAGGTTATGTACTGGATAATCAGAATGATACTGAAAATAAGACATGTCACCAGGAGAAAAGTGTTTAAATTTAGATTATTCAAAATTAAATGTATCTTCCAGGAAAAAACTAACATTATAACCAACAAATTATTTTGCTGAGATAAGTAACTTCAACAAGGATATTTGTCCAGCACTTTGTTGACTGAATTTGCACAAATAATTATTACCTTGACCCTGTCCACAAGATACTTTAAAGGTAAAGGCTGGTTCTGTGTTCAGTATTCTTTGAAATCAACCACTTCTAGAAACCAGTGTCTCTTTTTCTCTTCCTCTATCAACTTTACTTCTGTTCTGCGACATCAGTCACAGGAGCGCAATCTCTGTTCACTTTGAAATTAAAACCTAATTTTAAACAGATGGGTACTAGGTATAAAACCTTACCTATGCACAAAGAAGAAAAATACTCTTAAATGAGCAAGCAAAAGGTAACAAACATAAATTAACAGGGAAATGCATAGATTTTAAGACAAACTTAATGGAAAGAAAAGTTGGCAAAATTCTGCAGAAGGAAACTTACAGTACAGGTCCAATAATTCAGATGCAGCTAAATGATGGATGATGCAAGTAGAAAGGGTAAGAAAAGGGAAGCAGGTCTTGGGCCCCTGAGCAGCGAGCAGCACCTGGCACGGACACTCTCACCTGCCCACTGTACTTGCATTTCAGAGCCCCAAGGTCAACCCCACTCTCAAGTCTTCAAAATATATGATTAATCTAACTCAGAGAAATTCCAACACATTTGCCATTATGAGGTAAACGTAATCCCTTACTCTGGCACAGCTGTCTACCTTATCTTTCTGACATCTTAACTTACATTTCTCATATGATACTATCTTGCAAGGGTATGTGACCCAGTTCTGGCCAACAACATAGAGCTTCTGGGAAAGGTTTCTCTGCTCTTAAAAAGAGATATTGAATTCTGCCATCATTTAAATAGGAGTCTCAAAACTACAGAAGACCCACCAACATGAGGGACCTGGGCTAAGGACAAAGCCGGCAGCAGAGAGCAGGGGGGAGATATGCAAGATACATCACCCTGAAGAAGCCTCAGAAGTTCTTGCTAAGAAGCATTATCAATTTCCTTATTGTCTGTATCGCTTGCATTAGTTTTCTGTTACTTTAAGGCAAAACATTACAAAATTTGCCAGAGCTACACGGGAGACCCAAGGGAACAAGGGGTAAAAGAATGAATATATCTGGAATCTTCAAAAGTGAGATGTGCTAGGGCCTGTACTATTATTCCAGTGAAAACCAGTCTAGATGATGGTGCTTTAGCTCTCCTGATTCTGGGTGCTTCTCTTTTGATCCCTAACAAGAACATAGATACAGTGAACAGGATCTGATTATTTTTTTAAGCAGCAGTTTTATTTTATTCTACCTTAAAGTATGATATTCCTATGTAGCATACCAAAATTCCTATTTTGTCAAGTGTCATCAAACTTGCCTTAGTTTGTTGTCTGTTTTGTTTTGTTTTTTCAATCTAGACCAAACCTATATAAGATAAACCAAAACCTGGTAGATATAAAACACATCATTGATTTCAAAGAAAACTAACTCATTACACTAACTAGCTATCTGCACCAGATGTATCCTAACTCAAACCTCTCAGATAAATGGTTTAACAATCAAATCTTGGTAAAAAAACATAGTAAATCATTTTTCCTTTCTCAGGGCAAAAGATTAGACAGGAAAGCAAAAGTTTCTAAAGAATAGTTAGGGGTTATCCCCTGGAATTGAATTCTATGCCTGAGACAGAGTAGGAGGGTACCCTGCTAATGTCCTACTTTAAGACTAACACTCTCCAAACCCAGTGGGGTACGGAGCAAGAAGTTTCATACACCAGAATCCACGTAGGCACTTTCACCAGCCAAAGCTTGGTTTCTACTTCAAAACCAAATCTGAGTCTCTAGAGGTGGAAGCTGGATGTTTTTTTAAGGTCTCCAGATGCACAGACAGTGGTGGGTTGAGAACCACTTACACCTCATGATACAATAAATCACATTTTATGACAATGTAATTAGTATGAATCATATCTTAAGGGTTTTTCATTTTAGTCGATACAATGATGTGATTCTTAGGAATTAAGCCATTTATGTAACAAATCTGAATACTTTTGGCATTTTTTAACAATCAGTCTCCACAGATTAGCCTTGCACAAAACCCCATGCTTAAAGAAAATGCACCCTAGGGCCACCCCTGGTGGCTCAGTAATTGAGTGCTGGACTGCAAAGCTGCCTGCAGCCTCTGCAGTGCCGGTTTGATCCCTGACCGCTGGCGAGGGTCCCACATGGAGCTCAGACCTCTCCTGCCACGCCCGCTGCTCCCCGTAGCAGTGTGTTTCGTCAGTCTGCCTGTTCTGTTCCCCACTCTGGCTCTGGTGAATTCTCTCACCCTCCCATGCTTCTGACTGTACCCAGTGCTTGTATAAATAAATAAATAAATCTTAAAAAAAATGCACCCTATATAGTGAAGTTTTCATCCCGTATTTAAATACTGTTGATGGCATGACCAATGTAACTTTCCTATCCCAGTATAAGAAAGACAGGTTAGTTAGATGTAAGTATAAGCATCTAACCAAAATCAATCATAGGAGATGGTGTTTCAAGAATCGGGACAAAATACTATATCAAAATATTTAGTGTGAAGGCTGAAGAAAACACTAACCATAATTCAAGCTGTTGTAAAAGGACTAGAAGACATGGGCAAGGCTCCAGATGAGCTGGTGTGACCATGATTGAGATGCAGTGGCCCAAGCACAGCACAGGGCACAAATTTCATCACTTTATGGCCTTGGTCAATGTTCAAATGTCAAACTGGGAATGAGGAAATATATCTGAGAAATGTAGAAATGGGAGCCTAGAAAAGGAGGCAAGAAGCAACATACCGAGAACCAGCCGAGTCTCACGGGCGCACACAATAAATAAAAGGACCTCTTGAGCTAAAGACCTACTGCCAGGCAGGCAGGAACAGGAGGGCTTTGAGGTCTGGCTCCAAGAGGGCAGGAGGATGTACTACTCAGCGACTGCTGCACAGCGTGCTTCCTACTAAGCCTGGGCCAAATCTAAAAATAATTGTCACATGACAGAATGAAGCCTTACAGTTACAAAGGACCTTAGAAGCGACCATCCATCCCGCCCATCCCATATTATCAACAGTCTTGGGTTTCATCAATGCCTTTACAGGAATGGGAAATAAATATCAACATCTCCTGTAAAGATAAAAGAAAACAGCAGGCTGACTTAATTTCTAATAATGCTCTACACTGATCCAAAGTACCATTTGGGGAAATGTCACCTTTAAGTTCATTTGCACTCCAAAACAACAAGTAGTTTACACTTGCACACTTCCTCCATAAAAAGAACTTTTAGAATTAACGGTTTAGCACTCCATTGTCACAATGTACATATTTTTTCAGACCAAAGGAAATAAGAAGAAAATGTTTATTCCTTCAGATATTAAGTTCCTTGTCACCTACAATCCCTAACATCTGTTCCTCCATTTGCTTTGCTGGCTGTGTCAACTTGCCCTTGGCACTAAATAATCAGATTAGTGGAAAGGAGCCTCAACTCCAGCCCTACCTCCACTTATGCACCTAGACGGCCAGCGAAATGTAATAGAATTTTATTTTTCTCTAATCTGACTGACTCTTCCAACTGGGCAATGAACTCATGAAGCGGTAAACGCCTATTACTTTTCTTTGGCCCACAGATCTCTCTCTTCATTCTGACATGTTAATTTACAAATCTGCTGCGATACTTTAGAGCACATCTATCATGAAATCACAAGAAGTCAATCACTTCTGGTTGGGCTAGGAATCTTCAGTGAGGCAGGACCTAGTCAACCTAAAATTTTGAGGAAATGTTTTATAAGAATAAATCTAATTTCAAAAAGCATTATAAACTCTGATCATTCCTAACTCTGGTAACTTCCTAAACGTTGATCCAATCACCCATGAAAGGAATCCCCAAATTTGTCCAAACAACCACGTGAAAGGGTGGCCATACAAACCAGTGCAGCTTCTAATCTCACTTAACCACTGAGTTTCCAGTTTAGATGGCTCAATTTATTAACACTTTTCTGTTTGTAAAAATAATGCTGGGGTAGCACAGAAACAAGATTCAAGATGTACAGAGAAAACTAAAAACCATCACAACCCTATCACCTACAATATGGAAACAATCACTTAATATTTTTGTACATCTTTCTGTTTTACTCTCTACATTTTTTAACATACTTGAACTCATACAATCTTCAGCATTCTGCTTTATTACCTTAATAGTACAACTGTTATATGTTATATGTGGATTCATTTAACTAGTTCCCTACTCTTGGACATGTTAGCTATATTTAAAAAACACAACATAACATTAATGCATAACTTTGTTTTCTGTATCTAGGACATATATTTAAATACACATATTCTTACCAGATTCTCCAGCACTAAAATGATCAAATGGATTCCCTTCTGCATCTGGATTTAGTAACATCATTTCAAATGGGATATCTTCCACCTGGGAATTCTCACTGTCATCTTTGCAGGTATACTTGTCTGCATAAAACACCTGCCACGTTTGTGGGTACGGGATCTGGGACACTGTCAGATTATGTTCGGTCTGGTTCATGATCACTTTAAAAAGAAAGAAAATAGCACTTCAAAGCTGAATTCTCATGTGTAGTCATTGTTTGAGTCACATAATCCATTTGAAGTTAGAAGTTTTTGTTTAGTTCTGGTGTAGTACTGGAATAAAGTCAGTAAAAGTTAAATCAGATAAAAATACGAGTTAACCAAATCAGATTAAAAAATGTGTCTTAACCAAAGGAATCATCATAAAAGTATTATGACACACCACAAATTAGTAGAATAATTATCACCAAAACTTTGCATTTTAATTTCAAGAATGTTCAAAGTTTTCAAGTGAGTTAGTGACATTTAAACATTTTTTTATGGGCCTCCCTGGTCACGCAGGGTTAAAGACAGCACGATGAAGCTATCACCGTCCACTGAAGCACGAGTTCGATCCCCAGCCAGGGAGAGACCCACATGGCGAAGAAGACCTCTCCTGACTCGCACGCTGCTCCCCTCAGCAGTGTATTTCAGCAGATTTGCCTGTTCTGTTCCCCACTCTGTCTCTGGTAAATCATCTCGGCCCCTACAACTCTGGCCTGTACACCCCAGTTCTTGGATGCATAAATAAATAAATGTTTAAAAAGAAACATTTTTTTTTATTATGGTAAAATGGACCCAACACGCAAGTTACCACTCTAATCATTTTTAAGTGTAAGTCATGTAGCATTAGGTACACTCATAATGCTGTATAACCATCACAAGGGCATTTTTGAAAATTATTCTGAGTTAAATTTAAAATGGAACTTTCAAATTAGGAAATCATTATATCTAAAAATGATGACTGACAAAAATCATCAAAAGAGTTTCCAAAATCTTTTCTGACTGGTTATCCTTTAAAAAGATACTAGAATTAGGAAAAAAAAAAAAAAAACAAACACCAGAAATTACCAAAATGAGAGCTATTTTACTAGGTCTGCAGTATAGTGAGATAGAGAAACTCTTGAATGTCAGCATCAGACAGATCAGAGTTTCCATCACTCACCTTGTATGTGACCTTGGGCAAGATATATAAGCAATGACACTCAGTTTCTTCATCTATAAAATGAAGACGGTACTTCACAGCTGAGGTGAGAGTGAGTTACATGAGTAACTCAGCATGGTATATGTCCTCTAGCAAATGTTGAATAATGGTTAATTGTTTCCTTTCATTAAAATAAGGTGGTTACACAAGTAAGTAGTTGTCAATCCAGGGCAATCCTAGTCCCCTCCAGAGCATCCGAAAGTATGGAGGGTCGTCACAATAGTTGAGAAAATACATGGAAGGCAGCTGTGCTGAGTCTCAAGGTGAAGACTCACACGAGAAAGAACTGCCCCATTCAAAATGTCAGTAGCACCCCCTTTGAGAAACACTGAACCTCTAAGATGCCTTCCAGATCTAAACTGTGATTCTGACCTAAGAGGTACTCACTCACACTATCACAGAGTGGTAGGAGGAAAAAATTCTTAAACAATTCAAATAATAAGAGTAGAAAAGGTAGAAGAGCCACATCTTGGCCCTACTATGTACTAACCTCATGATTCAGCAAAAAAATTGCTTAACCTCTCTAAACGTGTTTCTTCAGTAGCAAACCTATGATACATGCCCTATTAAGCTCAAAGTTCTTGTGAGGAGTAAATGAGAGAGTGCATGAAAAGTCTATGTGGTATGATTCGCTATAGAGTATTCCTAAACTGTAAATTGTGAAGGGTCCAGCTCCCCATCTAGATTGCCCAGCAGGCCTGTTAGTCTTGTTTTCTCACTCTAAGCTGAGGATGTACAGATGTTGGCTTGTATTACACTTCAAACTTTTCTGTGTGATTGAAAATTTTCCTAATAAAACTTTGGAAAATGTTATTTATAGGCTGTCTTTTATAAAGGAGTATGGATATATCTCAGGATAAATTTTGAGGAGTTGGGTTTTTATAGTTGGGAATTTTCATTAATTGGTAGTTAAACAGGACAGGGTGATTTTATTAATAATGTCTAAGCATTGTTTTTTTTTTTTTTTTTTTAAAGATCTATTTATTTATTTATACAAGCACTGGGCACAGTCAGAAGCACGGGAGGGTGAGAGGACTCACCAGAGCCAGAGCGGGGAGCAGAACAGGCAGACTGAGGAAGTACACTGCTGAGGGGAGCAGCGGGCAGCAGGAGAGGCCTGCACGCCATGTGGGACCCTCGCTGATGGCCGGGGATCAAACCGGCGCCGCAGAGGCTGCTAAGCATTGTTTTTTGACTATCTTAAGTTGGCTGACATTGTTTTTTAAACTGTATAGCTTTGGAAAAATATAGCAATATTTGCATCTGTTAAATACTTGAAGTCCTTTAAAAATAACTCAATATATGATAAATAAGTGGCTCAAAAATAAAGCTTTTGAAATGTGCAGCTTACAATTACATAATCTGGACTTCATTATGTAAAGGCTCTGTGCTGTTGCCATTTTATCATTTGTACTTTTCCTCTTAGATAAAACAATATAAAAATTAACCATCTTCACCAATACACTTTTTGATGTTTCCTTTTAAATTAATGTAGATTTACAACAAATAAAAACAAAAGTGTGCTTCATGAAGTGATACTGGTTTTTAGTTTTGTCTCAGTGCTCTTTTCCCTCAGCCTGGAAAACAAGCCTCTTGAAAAAACTGTTATATTCATTATTTTTGAGACAAAAGACTATAGCACAGCCTACATACTCTATGCTGCTGTAATTAGTACCCCAAATATTAGGAAATTTGAATTGCAGAGAATGGTGTCAAATGGATAATTGTTCCATTATATAAAAAGAAATGACTACTGTTAGCCAAAACACACAGAATAAAATATACCTTTAAATTGTTTATGAAATATGCCATAAGTTGTATATAGACTGAAAATTTTTATATACCAAATTATATCTGATAGCAAGTTACTCTAACTTTCCTTGTTAAACTTTTTGACGCAGAAAATTCATTTTCAGCACTTTTAAATGCCTTATTTGCTTATTTTAAAAACCTACAAAAATTTTTATCATAAAACAACTAATGTTTTATGATGGTGCTGAAAGAGAACAAAGGATACTGGAAAACAAGGAAGAATTAAACATTAACTTGAGAGAACAAGTTAAGCAACATTTGACATTGTATTTTTTCAAATCTGTTAGTCTTTGCATAGTTCATAGCAGCAGTAAGGTTTTACACAGTAGTTAGGCATAGTTAATTAACCCATTACTATATATAGATATATATCAATATTTATAAATATATCTATAATATAAATATCCATAGTAGTTCATTTATTTCTATTCTGAAATTTAACAAAACTCAAAAATTCCTATTTCCTGAGATCATTCCATCCCACTAACTCTCCCCCAAAAAATACCCCTACGTTTGAAAGAATAAGGAAGAAGGGAATACAGAAAAAGAACAAAAAAAGGTTTTATAAGTGTTAGCCCTCTATAGAAACAACTCATCCTAAAGAACTAAAATTAGAATTACAGCATTTTAGAACTCTCAGGAACTTTAAAGAAGACAATTTCCAGTTAAGTAGTGTGGCTAAGCGGGAACACCTTATTACAGGTCACTAGCTGTGATTCTCAGTTTTTTGTCTTTCTAATGCAATGGGCTCTCTCCCTGTATATTTAAGTCCTGTGACTTAAGACATTACTTAAAAAATTATGGTTTCACAAGTGTCTACAGTTTATGGTAAAAACTGATCATGTGATGTAAGAAGACAGATTGATTCCTATTGCTCAAAGCTTTACACTGCCTGATCAGTTTTTATTAGAAAAAGATTTTGAGGTGCCAAATACAATGCAAACTTACCAACCAAAAAAGTCCTTCAAGCACTAAGCACTATGTCAATTAATCCTACAAACACTTAGTAAATCTATTTATTTATTTATTTATTTATTTTATACAAGAGCTGGGGTACAGGCCAGAGGCACGGGAGGGTGAGAGGATTCACCAGAGACAGAGTGGAGAACAGAACAGGCAGACAGACCGAATGCACTGATGAGGGGAGCAGCCGGCGAGGCAGGAGAGGTCTGCCCCACCATGTGGGAATCTCCCTGGCCAGCCGGGAATTGAACCGGCGCTGCAGAGGCTGCGGACAGCTTCACAGCGCTGTGCTCAACCCGCTCCGCCACCAGGGAGGCCCACTTACTAAATTCTTAACTCAGTACCTACGGTATTTTAAGTGCTTGTTCTCATGGTACCATGTAATTAGCATTCATAGTACTGATCATGAAAGCAATTTCACATTTATTCCCATTGATCTAATTCATTCCTGTCACTAGCCTTAAGGGCTGAGAAAGTATATTTTTAAATATTTTTTATATCTATATATTTTAATACATTTATATTTTTATAAATTTATTTATTTTCTTACATCGTTGTTCATTCTTGTACAATATTTGATTTCTACCCTCAGGTGTAATCCCCATAATTTTCTCACCACCATGGCACCCATGAACCATCACCTACAGTCCCTTGTGGTCTTCCCTGCCCCGTTTTGATCCCTCCTCCTCCCCTTCCTGCTCTGTGCCTCAGATCTATGGTTTGCCTGCAAGTTTTATCTTTTTCCTGATCCTTTGTTCGGTTTCCCTATATTCCCCCTATAAGTGAGACCATCCAATAATTTTCTCTTTCCTAGAAAGTGTCAGTATTTTATCTCTTGATTTATCACTGTGCCTAGCACAGCACCGGAAACCATATAAGTGCTGAATGAATGAGTGAGTGAAGAGACCGAAAGGGCTCTACTGTTCTATTGATTTTATAATAAACAAATACAGTGGAAAGCAGGGACTATGTTAAGTGCCCTGGAGGAAACAAGTCATAAAAACACATGTAGACTCGGTGAAGGGAGGAGCCAATAAGGGGGAGGAGGAAGCAGCAGAGGAAAAGCCTAGCACAGTGCTGAATAAAATCAAATGAGATGGGATGGGACGGTACTGTGAGGTGAAGCTGGAGGGCAAGGATGGTCAGACTAGGTTGGCTTTGTTGATCTGGGTAAGGAAGTCTTCGTGTCCTAGAAGCAGTAGGAAACCACTTAAATACTAGAGGGCATGGAGAGGAAGCGAAGGGGACAATGCTCAAAGCTACTGTTCAGAGAGGTCTCTGGCTGCAGAGGTGGTTGAGCATGGCTGCAGAATGGCCAGGGAGGGGGCTGTTGCAAAAGAACAAGCAGGAGACATGGTGGCTTCATAACACGGTGGAGACAGAGATGTCAAATGGGGCTATTGAGAGACTCTTTGATCTCTAGTTCATTAGACGGAAGTTCCCGAAATAGGGAGCACTGCAAGAGCACTGGGTTGGGTGGGCAAGATGGCAAGCTCAGTTTAGGATACTGTAAGAACTGGGAAAAGAAGGCTGGAATTTTTTATGCATATGTGGAGCAGTTAAGCTGAGCAAAGTATTGTCGATAGGAAAAAATAAGCAAAAATGGGCATCAATACAAAGCTCCCACTTAAAATGTGAAATGCAGGATAAGGTGACTAGTTACATTTGACTGTCTTTTTGATATCGGAATCCAGTCGTTCAGACTTCCTCAGCCTAGTATCACTGTCTCCTCCCAAATCTAGATGAATGACCCCTCAGTGAGTGGCAAGGATTGGGGACTTTGACTCTTACCCCCTTACTTCTGGGTAGTTGCCTTATGAGGGAAACAGATAACTGCTAAGACAAAGAAGACTACAAGTTTAGAAATGGCAGTGTTTTAATTGACTGGATCAAAGAAAATTCAGAATCATCAGTATACAGAATGTGACAGTGGGGATAAAGGGGAGAGGGAAAATTCCTATTTTTTCCTCATAGATGCTCCTACACGCTATAAACTTCCAAGGGGTGAAATACAGGTGGGAAGGCACATGCTCTTCATTTCTGCGTTAAAAAATTTGTACTCACTCTGGAGGGCCAACACCTAATGCATAGGATTGTACTGATGAGAACAGAAGCACTAGGTTAAGATAAGAAAAGCAAAGTTTCTCTAGAGACAAACCTAGAGGTTTATAAATGACATGCTGCTGGTACATCTCCAAATGACATATTGTGTCACCGTATCTCCTGTGCTAGTATCATACTGGAAAACAACATTACTTGGGCTAACTTACACAATTAACTGAGCTAATAATACATGATCAGTGCTGAGCTCAGTGCTAGCTGATTACAAGCATTCACCCAATGTTATTCTTCACTGCATGCTGCCCCTGGCTCACAATAACTACCGTACTGGTATGAAGTATGGGGAGCTGGGAAAAATATGAATGGTGTCAAAGTGCATCTTTACAGATTATCTGGATAACGATTATCCTTTACATTTAGTTTAAAAACTAGTAGATAAAGGGTCATCAGTGTGATGTAAAGTGTCATCAAGCATCTTGGTATATAATACTTCAATATCCATCTAACATCAAAAAAAAAAAAAGAGATATACTCACTTGTTAACTGAGCTTTGGATAATTTTTCACTACAGCTATAATCATTACTGCTTTCCTGAAGCTTTAGCCACTCCTGGGCTTGGAACAGGTAGAGTTTTGCTTCTTTTCCAACAGCTACTGCTATGTTGTTGATTCTGACACACAGAAGAGCTCGATCCCCTGGACAGTAAAACAAAAGTTATCAACTAGTGTGGGCTTGTGTGGAACTGAGATGGCAGGACAAGCCAGAGCTCTGTTTATCAACTTGAACATTTAAAGAGCTCAGTATCTAGGGCAAATTTCCACTTAACTGGATAGACTACATTAAGCATCCCATTCAAATGGAAGACAAGATTGTGTCATTGACTGAAGAGACTTTACTGTCTGTCAATACTCAAAGTATAGTTATAGACAAGAGCCAGTTGTTTCTGGAATTTCTTCTTCATTCACCCGAGTTCTACTACACATAGGATTTTGGAAAACTGGTGGCATCTGCTTTTCTCAGCTATTTTTAAAACTTCAAGTTGAACATTAATTCATGTTCCCTCTCTTTTGCACCACTGTCCCTTTTATACCATCAACTCTGTTAATTTCCCAAGACTTTAAATTTCTTTCTTATACCAAAATAGCATCTCATTTCTATTAAAAGAATCCTAGGAAACCTCTCTAGGGCAAATTTCTGATCTAGCATCTTCTAATGTTAAAAACTGTATGAATCTAGAATCCTAAACTCGAAGCAAAAAAAAAAAATTGATTATAGTGCTAATCATATCAAGAGTATCAAGAAAAGCAAATGTTGAGGGTACAAATAAAGTAAAAAAAATTGCAAACTCATTCATTGAAGAATTATTGATTTCTGCGGGAGACCAGAAGCTAAGAATCAAATGCAGCTGATTTCAGAAGCTTCCAGGACACAATTACACGGAAGTTAATTCTAGGCCTCTCAGTCCACAGTATATCTACTCCTTCAATAGTGGAGTAACTAGACTGTTCCAGCAAGTGACAACTCGATTATCAGGTGTTTTATTCAGTCTCCAAAATCTCTCTGGTGCGCGAAGGCTTTTATTTAACTGACCTTAAAAGCAAAAAACGAAACCCAGGAGACATAAGCTCTGGGGACTTAAATTCACAGGTAATCACGGTGCCGTGGTGTCTAGAAATACCAGGGCTGAGACAGGAGGGAGCAAACGGTGCTTCTTTGAGGGAAGGATCTGGAAAGCAGCAGCATGGGAGTCCAGCCATCTCGTCTACACGTTTGAACCCGGAGGGTAGGGGGCTCGCTCTCGGAGGTGCAGAATCCAGTCACCAGGCGCCGGGAGGCTGCAGACCAGGGTCTGGGGACAGCAACAGTGGACTTGGCCCTAGGTGCACCCACGTTTCCGGGGGCTGCGGTGGGGGGCAGGCTGCCGGCGGGCTGCAAGTCCAGGGGCGCTGGGGGCAGAGCCGGCCTCCCCACGCGCGGCGAGAAGGGGGTCCCGCAGGCCGGGCCCCCCACTTTCCTCCCCCTCCGAGCCCCGCACCTACCGTGGAACTCGAAGTGGCCGATGCTCTGGCCCTGGGCGTCGCGGGCCGCGGCGCTGCTGAAGCTGCCCCGCAGGGTCTTCCCCTGGCTGCCCGGCGGCCACCAGCAGCAGGTGAGGGCCACCGCCAGCAGCCGCAGCCCCCCCATTCCCGGCCTCCCGCTCGGCACCCACACCCCGGCCCCCAACCGCCCGCGGCCGCCCGCCCCACGTCGGCAGCTGGGGATTGGGAAGGAGGGAGCGGGACTACGTCGTGGGCCCGCCCCCTGGAGACGGACAGCCAATGAGGAGGACGTCTCCGCCACGAGCCGAGGCTCTCCACCAATCAGAGGCTGAGGTGGGCGGGACGTGCACTTGCGCGCATCCCATGACGCTCCGGCCTGGCGCCCAGTTCCCGCCTTTTGGGCGGAGACGCAGGAGGATGCGCCTTCAGGTCACGGAATAGTGATGCCCTCGCGGGCCGAGGCCGTGCCACTGCGCACGCGCGGAGAGCGGGCTGGGCCGGCGAGGGCCTGGGCGGGTGCGGGACGAGGAGATGAGCACGACTTCTGCTGGGGAGGAGAGAGCTGGATGTCCGTGCAGCCTGCTGGACATTTCTGTTGTGCCCAAGGTCAGCAGACTCGGAGAGCACAGCCTCCAAGAACCCAAAGACAGCTGATGCCAACACAAAAGGGAGTTTATTTCAGACTTGAGTCCAGGTTCACGGCACCTACCAACGCAGTGGCAGATACCCAGAGCCCAGAACAAAGGAAGCAGGGGTCTTTTAATAAGGTTAAATTATGCTGGCAGTTACTCATTGGCTACAAGGATGCGTTCTCCAACTTTGCCCGGCTATTGATACCGGAATTGTCAGGCCTAGTTTTTTTTTTTTTTTTTTTTTTTTTTTAAAAATAAAAACAATTCCACAGAATTTATTGCCATCTGGTAATAACATAAGGGTTATCCAAACAATAGGGACAAATGTTTCAGAACTATCGTCCCAATAAAGAACAGGTAAAAAAAGCTAACTGAATTAATGTTCTCAACCATCCCTCACTTCACGTGATTGATCTTTTCTAGTTGAAGACACTTTGGAGCAGAGTAATGTTATCACCTTTCAGCATGATCCGACCCAGTTGTTTTCTTGACTTTGTTTTAGAATGAATCTCTTCTGCATCATCTAATACGAGGTTCATATACTCATCAAAACCAATGATACAGCCCTCTATCCGCATATTCACTTGCTCATAAAGCCACACCTGAATCCAAGATCGATTTTGCAAGTATCTGAAGATGAGGCTGATGGGCTGCACCATCACCTTCTGCACTTTCTGACCCTGGCCGCGGTACGCCATGGTGGAAGCTCACAAAGACCACACTAAGTCGCACGCTAGCTCAGTCCTAGTTTTTTAGCTAGGAACGGATCCCAGGCTGCAGGGCAGCGCTGAGGCCCAGCCACTAGACCCCCATGAGTTGGTGTCTCACAAAGCCGCAGCAGGAACTTTGTAGACGCTCAGGCCAGCAAGCGAGAAGAGGCAGGTTTGTTTAGAGAAAGAAAAAGTTTATTGAGGAGAAAAAAAGCAGAAATAAAGTGGGACTCCCAGGCCAGGAAACCAGGCCTGGGAGGGGCAAGGAAGCCAAAGTGGAGTTGTGTCTCAGGGAATATATATCCTCTTTCCCTCATTATTTTAAAGCTTCACCAGTCTCTTTGTGATTGGTCAGTTTTTGGCTGTCTCACTTAATTTGGGTATTTTTGTATTGAAGTTAAACAGTTGTCCTTCTAAATTGTCCATAAATTAAACCACTCTCCATTTCTCCAATCTTTGCCTCCCTTTACCACCTAAAGAAAAACAGGCCCAGCATTAACAATGTTGTCCTTGGTCCTGAGATGTTTTTTTTTCCCAGTGAAATTGATTACTTTCCCTTGGTTGTCCTTATCTCTAAAGCCTCCCTAAATTCTTCAAAAGTCTCCTCCCGCACTGTCCCTAAAACTGCCTAATAACCCTAGCTTGCCCTGTGTCTCACTATCATTCTAAGCTGACTGGCCAGGCCAAGATGCAGCTCCAACCTACAGCTCCAATTACAGCAAGTTCACCCTCATTGGCGACCAGAGAGTAAGGGTGGAGTTGCAGAGTGAGGGTCCAAACTATCTCTGGAATGCAGTCTTTTCCCAGCAAAACCTAAAATGGCAGTTACACAAAGCAATGGCTAAGAATACTTATCCTTGGTTCCACAATTTCCACTCGAATGTCTCAAAGACACTTAACTCTGCATGGGCGCAGTTTACCACGTAACCTCTCGACCCTTCCAACTGGTTTTTCCCTCCTGGTTTTCTTCTTGAATTCACAAGCTTCAATTGGCATCATCCGGCAGACCAGAAAACTGGGAATAGAAGCCACCCCCACTCCCCAGCCCCTTACACAGCTACAGCCAATCAAATCAGTGAGATTAGGGTCTCTTCTGGGCAGTGATGGCAGGAAACTGCAGCCACTACCCTATCCAGGCCTCCATCCTATCATCACTTACTTGCCCAATGGCAACTGACCTGCCTCCAGTCTTCATTTTCTCCAGTTGGCTACATACAGCCCATTCCTGTGCTAGAGACACAGGAAGTTTTGGGAACTACCATTTGACCACCATTTTCTTTTAGAGGTTCTCATGTGCCTTGGGTCCAAAACCCAAATTCTTCAGAATATGACTTTAAAGTCTCTCAAATTTCCATCTCTTGACTTATCTCCATGGGTACCAAGCCACCATCAGTTTGCTGACCACTCCAAGTTCTCATCTCTTAGCCTCTGGCTAGAATAGCACTTATAGCTCCCTCTGGCTAGAATATTCATTTATTCTATCACACAACCTCCATATCACCTTCTTTTCTGACTTTATTCCTCTTTCCCAGGGCACTTGAAGGAGCCTTTCCCATACACCCAAGTCTATTTTTTTTTTAAGATTTATTTATTTATGTACATGAGCTGGGGTGTAGGCCAGAGGTGCAGGGGGTGAGAGGATTCACCAGAGACAGGGAGCAGAACAGGCAGATTGACTGAAATACACTGATGAGGGGAGCAGAGGGTGAGACAGAAGAGGTCTGCTGCACCATGTGGTTTATTTTAGCTCTCTGGCAGGGGATCGAATGTGCTGCAGTGGCTGTGGATTGCTTCACTGTGCTCAGACTTAACCCCTTGCTCCACTAGGGAGGCCCCTCACCCAAGTCTATTTTAGATGCCCCTGGAACTGGAAGCCCTGACAGCTCTACCAGGGCATTCCATACACTGTATTGTTAATGTCTATTTCTCTGAATTCCCCACTGTATTGTAAGCTGCAGCTGGTCAGAGATTACGTTTGTGCTGATAAGACTAGAAGCTCAAAATTATTTAGTGAATGTATACATAAATTATTTCCATTCGACAAGTTTTTATTGTATATAAGTGAGTTCTCCTCAATAGAACTCACCATTTAGAAAAGCAAACACTGAGGGAACACTTCCTTTTACCCAGACTTTTCTATATTTCTGGCTAACCAGAAATGAGCTGGAGGTAATATTATTGACAGATTTTTTTAAACTGCATTCTTTTTTAAATATAAAAGTAATTTATGTGAATTAGAAGAAAAAATCACAATCAAAAGTGTATGAAGCAAAAGTGGAAGGACTCATCTGTGGAAGTCCTCATTTCCACCTTTCCCTGTCCATACCTGATGTTATCCAAAGGTAGCTCCTGCGAACAGTTTAGGGTGGATCCTTTCAGGCATGCATTTACCAATACTTGGTATTTGCAAACCAAGGACACGAATAAAATCGGTCCTGAAAATAAATCAGAACTTGGGCCTTGAATGTTGTGCCGTCTCTTGTCTTTCTTCTCCATGATCATCTTTGTTTTTCTCTCTCACTGAAGACAGTGGTGTTTTAATAGGTGTCGTCAAGGAAACACTCTCTAACAGGATCAGATTCAAGCTGAAAATTGAAGAAACAGGGTACAAATTAAGCAGACAGCCTGGGAAAGTCATTTCAGGCACAGTGCAAGTAAGCATGCCTGGCAAAATAAAGGAAAAGGCAAGGACAATAGGAAAAGATCTGCAGGTGGCATCTAGGGAACATCTTTACCGTGATATGTAGCTTGAGTTGTCTGTAATAACTCGTTGCAAAACGTTGCAACAGCGAAACGTTGCAATTCCAACTTCCCATCTCCACTTAGCAAGAGGACTCCCCAGGATTTCTTAGCTAACTAGTGAATAATTTATGGAAACTGTTTTGTGCAAAAATGAAAAGAAGGTAAAGCCTACTCCATATACTGGGGACACTGGGGGGAATTCCAGAGCCCATTCCCCCAGCCAGCTGGGCTGGACGGGAAAGAGCTGCGGCTGCGCAGAGGCGCCGGCGGCCCGCGGAACCGGGGGGCCCGCCCCATGTCCCGGCGGGCGGGGCCAGGCCGAGCCCGCAGCGGCTTCCTGTCCCTTCAACCAGTCTTGGGGAGCCTGGCGCGTCGCAAAGAGTCGCGGTGGAGCTTCCCTGCGGTCCTGGCGCTCTGCGGTGCCAGGTCCTGCTGCGCTGGGAGATGTCGGCTGCAGTTCTGGCGGAGCCCTTGGGTCCTCCTAGCAGCTTCGCTAAGCGGGTCCTGGTGACCGGGGGTGCTGGTTTCATGTAGGTAACTGCGGCGCTGGCCGACAGCAGCCCCCAGAGACCCCAACCTGTTCCTGCGGTTCTGCTTGCCCTTGGCGGCTTGGAACCAGCTCTGGGGGTCTGATGCGCGCGCGCGGGGGGGGGTGGTGGTGGGTGTCTTAATGCACGATGGGGATCATCCTGCCTTCTCCAGCCTGCGCAGACGTGATTGCTCTAAACTGCAACTTCTTGGAAACACCTCCCTCCCTCCAGCAAAAGTGCTGAGCTTCTCCCCGCCCTCAGGTCTGGCGCGACAGGGACCTGTCACTCTTCTGAATGCGCTCTCCCTGCGCTCAGCTGCACCCCGAGGGTCCCAAACCCTAGTCTGCACCCTGCCCGCCCCCACCAAAATACACAGGCCTTGTGCTTCCAGGCGCCCATACCCGGTTTTGGATTATAAAGAGGGCATTCATTTGTTCAGCAGACTTAATCCTCTGTTGGAGCGTTGACGTGTCCTACACCCAGGCCTTCCTAACCTCTCACACCCGTAATCAGCAAGTCCTGGCTCACTCTCCGAGGTGACTGCTACTGCTCAGTCTGAGCCCTTGTAACTGTCTTCTTGTGCCCAGACTGCTGCTGTCCACTCCCATTTCGTTCAAGTCTGAGCCTCACCCAGAAGTCAGTGTTTATTCAGTAAATCTGTGAGTGGAGTTTTGCTCCAGTGATCCCTGTGAGACTGGGAATAAATATATAGGAGACTCTCAAGTGCATGGAACCCTTATTTTCCAACTGGTCCTGCTGTCTACCCCTGGCTTTTCTGTGTCAGCCACATAGATCCTGGCGGTTCCTGGAGGCCTTTGCACTTACTTCCCCTTGGCTTAGGCTGTTTGCATCACCGGTTGAGTTGTTTACTACATTGACTATTCCCAGAGGACTTACCTGACCACCCCATCCAAAATAGCCCCTCTTCCCAGGAACACCTTAGCCTGCTCTTAGCACGCACCTAATCGTACATGTGTGTTTTCTTGCTTATTGCCTGCACCCCTCACTCTGGAATGTGAATAGGATGAACCCAGAGACTTCTCTTCCTTCAGTGCCCAGAAGAATGCCAGGTGCATTGTATAAAGGTGCTCAGAAATTGTTAAGTGATTGAATGCAAGAGCAACAAGCTGGAGATTCCCCTAATGTCTAGAGGAAGGAGGAATGGAGAATTTCTTTATGAATGCATTAAATCACCTCTTCTATGGAAACTTTTCACTGAGAAAAGGGAAATGGACTTGAAAAGGTGGTGGTCCTTGAGTGCTGGTCCAGGAAAGGTCTAGAAAATGCTATGAATGGGCTACCAGGTACAAACTGAGTTCATAATATGGCCCTTGTTCCTGGGCACCCTGCTTTTTAGGCGTATATGATAAAAGCTGAGCCGACCCGGAGCTGTGCCTCTCCTTCTGCTTTGGGGTACTCTGAAACCCATAACTGCTTATGGATATCCAGCTCAGGATGGTTAGCCTCAGCAGCCTAACTAAAGCTAAGACTCCTCTGAAGGTTCTGATTGACACCAATTCTCCCACCATGAGAAAGCAATTGCAGCAGTTTACTATGAACACAGACAACTCCTGTTTCACTAACTTTTACATAATTATACTTAGAGTTTCTGAAAAGGCCATTATAGGTTCAGAAGAGTTGCACTGACTACCTGCATTCTATTCATCTGCTTTTTTTGCACACCCAAAGCATCCACAACACCACCATTTGATTCAGCCAATTTTTTTTCTTATACCCATACATTCACACTTCTGCAGAGTAAGATTATTTATGGGCACTGTTGAGAACATTGGTGAAAACTGGGGATGGGCACATATTTGGCTATTTTTTTTTTTTTTTTTTTTTGGAAAATCAAATACGTGACAGTTTAGGAAGACATTCAAGAACTTCAGGCTAAGGTTAAAATTTCCTACTAATAAGGGAACCTTTTCTTACAGTGCATCACATGTGATTGTCTCTTTAGTGGAAGATTATCCAAACTATATGATCATAAATCTAGACAAGGTGAGTTTTATGAAATTGAACTTTATGCATTAAAACTTAATTACATTTTAAAAAAGTATTATAATCTTGTTATGCTGATATTTTAGTTGGTTATTCAGTTTTTTAATTTTTTTTAATAAGTCAGGGGCCTATAGCCATGTGTTCATACTGTATTTAATTTTATATGAAGTGTTTTGAAACTTTTTTCATTTATTATGGTAGCTCATAAAGTAAATATTTTTTAAAAGTGCAGCATTTTCAACAATTTTCACTCTTAATAAATTTAATATTTACTGTAATCTTATAATTATTAAAAAATTTTGGCATTGTGATACTCTGATTATTTATTTGATTATTCAATTTTATAATTGCCACCTCCTGAAAAAATTGCATATTTTTTAAAATTAAAATATGATTTATTTAGTTTTAAGAACTTCTCTGTAATAACTGGTCTCCCGGAGTGTTTTACAGCCATGATTGGTAATTTCTGAATATTTTTTAGTTTAAACACAAAGTGCAAATAGTTATGTTAATTTCATAAAATGTAATAGTAAAAATATAAAGGCAAAGAATAATCCTAAGTCTTATGAATTTTTGTGACTGTCATGGACAGTCCTTTTTCCCCCACCTATGCAACAATTGTTAACTCAGGAACAGATGTGATGAATTATAATATGCTAACATAGTGATTATCTTCAATCACTAGTAAGTTTTCAGTAAGATTATGGTAACCTTCTAGCCACCAGCAGCTGGAGGCAAATCTGGGCAGGAAAACCTTTTAAAGAAGAGGTTTACGGCATTTTTCATTTTTGCACAATGATTGCATTTTCATCTTGGTTCTAGTCCCCATACAATTCCCACCCCCCTAGTTTTGATGGAAAATGATGTAAAAAATATAAAATAAAAATGCTCACCAAAAAAATCACTTCCAAATATATCTAATTTTGCATTGTGGGTCCCCTTCCCACCCCTGCCCTAAAGGTGAAAAAAAAAAAAAAAAAAGAAGTTTACGAAAAGTAATTTTTTGTATTTGGGAAAAGTAACAGTTCCATGTGGTTTTTTTTTTTTTTTTTTTGAAGATGTCAGGAACTAGTTAAACTACAAAAGGTAATCACTTTAAGAAGACAGGTTCTTTTATTACAGGCTCTATTATTATCAAAATATTATTACTTTTTGTGTTGTTTCTCCCAACCCTTCCTTATTTTAAGCTGGATTACTGTGCAAGTTTGAAGAATCTTGAAACTATTTCTGACAAACAAAACTACAAATTTATACAGGTATGAAAGTTTCCTTATAGTTATAAAATTATTATATTGTACCTCACTAGTCAATAAGAGATTGTATCTTTCTATTTCACGAGTTTATGTGACATGAACTTGGAAAGCACACTTAGTAAAGACCCTTTCATTTCTGGGTGTAGCCTGGGCGCTAAGAACCCGGCCTTGTGTAGAGCGCCACATGTGATTTTTGGTACCTTCGCAGATCTGAGTAGCTGATTGAACTTACATGCTTTCTGATGTTTAGATCCTGACTAGTTGTTTTTAAAATGGACTTGCTGGAATTTAAAGAGATTAGTATAAATTGTGCTGTTACTCAGAAAGACCAGCTACTGGCCAAACATTCCACCGCACAGCCCATGGGAAAGTTTCCCTAGGACCGCTGATTGGTGAGCTCTGGCAGGCTGATTCTTCTTAACCAGTCTTTTCTTTTTTTCATAAGCCAAATTTTAATAAAATTAATCTTACTGGAATTTCATATTTAAAGAATCTATTATAAGTAACATTTAATCATTTCTAATTTATTTTATAAATTTAGTCTTTTACATATTATTTGCTTACCGTAGGACAAGCCTTGGCAACACACAGACATTTCATATGGCAAGGGATGAAGTAGAATTTTTTTGTTGCTCCAAAAGTAAAAAGATGTTTTTTAGCATCCTAACCACTCTTAGAGTAGTCCAAAGTATAAAGCAAAGAAGGAGGTCATAATTTGCAAAGGGATGTTTTAATGTCAAATGAAAGTATCCTATGATTTATGGGTTTTTTTAAGTCTATCAACTTTCTTTTTAAACACACATTTTGAAGACTATTTTAAGCAACCACTTCATAATTCTCTTCTCCTTTATGAAGGACTTCTTCCATCACTAAAGAATTGTTCCAAAAACATATTTTTGGAAGAATTAAATGTAATATAGCATCAAAGCTACTCAGAAGTTTGCTTAGTTGTGATGAAGTACAGTTTTAAAAGTGTCATTCCACTTGTTACACTTTAAATATGCTTCAATAATGGTTATCTCAAAATTTTTAAAATATATTTAAATTTTTCCTGTTAATATACTAACCTTCAGTTGGCACAAATATTATAATAAGAAACTAATACCATTCTCAGTAGTTAGTACTCAATAAAACATCATTTTAGCTACTTACTGGCAAAATATATTTTAAATGAAATATCTTATCACCTAAAATGCTAGAGAAAAACACCATGCTTACATACATAGTTGGATTTTTAAGATTTTCTCTATTAAACCAAGGTGATTGGAAGAGGAATTTATTCATTTTTTTCTTGTTCTTTTTTGTTCATATACTAAATGGTGATGATGAATGTGAGTGCTCAATGAAATTTACATTTTTTTCATTTTTAATACAGGGTGACATATGTGATTCTCACTTTGTAAAACTGCTTTTCGAAACAGAGAAAATAGATATAGTCCTACATTTTGCTGCACAAACACATGTAGGTAAGCATTCTTTCATGTTACAGTTTTGATGGGCAGTTTTCCTTCCCAGTCGTTAACTAGTCTAAACCAAATTCTAGTAATGGGTTTGAATGAGGAGGTACTTAACATACATCGTTGGAAGAGCACATTCTACCAGAAAAACAAGACATGGTCACTGTCATTGAGATACTTGGTGCTTTGCAGATCATATTTAGGGAGAGGTAAATTTTAACGTTATTTTAAAACTTTTTATTTTAGCCCAATTCAGGGTAGTGATTACTTCTGGGGAAATAGGCCTTCAACTGTATCTTTTTGGGTTCTTTTGCTTAATCTGGGTTATGTTGGATACACACTTGAATATTATATTATTACCTATACTGTTTTATGCATGGAAGGTATTTTCTAATAATTTTGTCTAACATTTTCTATAGTGAAATGTAGCACATATTCAGAAGAATTTAGAAGTAAAGTCAGAAGTAAAGTGTGAATATCCATGTAGCTATCACCTATACAAAAAATAGAATGTTGCTAAACTCTCTAGTGATAGTGTTCCCACTGCCTTATTGCTTCATTTTAAAGTTAAAATTGCCCTTGATTTTCTCTACAGTTTCACAGTGTATGTATTTATCTCTAAAGACTTTATTACTGGGTTTTAAAGTTTTTGCCAAATTTCCCTTCTTAGGGATTATAAGTGTTTTTGCATTCCCATTACCAATATATAAAGTATCTTTTCCCCAAGATCCTCACCAATAGAACATAATGTCATCTATGAGTTTTTAAAGATTTATTTTTATTTATTTATGCATACAAGAACTGGGGCGTAGACCGGAGGTGTGGGGGTATGTGAGAGGATTCACCAGAGACAGAGTAGGGAGAAGAATTGGTGGATCGACTGAAATACACTGCTGAGGGGAGCAGCAGGCAAACAGGAAAGGTCTGCTGCACCATGTGGGTCAGTTCTCTGGGTAGGAATCAAACTTGTGCTTCAGTGGCTGCTGATAGCTTGATAGTGCTGAAACTTAACCCCTTGTGCCACCAGGGAGGTCCCCATCTATGAGTTTTGAATTTGAATTTCTATATTATAATTTAAGTTCAGCATCTTAAACTTGAGGATCTTTTGTATATTTTCATCTAAATTATGTGTTTATGTCTCCTACCAATTTTAACATCGGCCTGTTCCTTTTATTTTGTATAATTTCTTTATAGATTAAAAAAGATACATTTGTCCCTAACAAATTCAAATATTTTCCTCAGTTTTCCATTTCTCTTTTTACTTTGCCCATATGTATATATGTATGTTGTATATACATACACATATATGTAAACCATGCAAGAATTTTTATGTAGTCGAATTTATCAATTTTTTTCCTTTTGCTTCTGGATTGTGAATCAGTTAGAGAAGTTCCCCCACCCCCAGATTAAGCTGAATCAATTCCTTAAAATGAATTTATTTTTAAATAATTTATCCAGCATTTATTGTTATTTTCAGCAATCATAGTTCAACCTGAAAAGTCTAGCCCTTGTTAGCAGACACAAGCAATTTCCATTTTTAAAAAAACAATTTTAGAACATTTAAAATATAGATGTATCATTTATTCTTTTTTTTTCTTTTCTGAACAAAAAGAAGAGTATTCCTGCACATTCAGCACTGATTGTTCTCTATGGTCTAAGAATGTGTGTTATGTAACCTGGGCTTGAGGAAATCCTAAGCAGCAATGCGTTTGTGTGTTGTTTTAAAAACTCCTGTGTGGTGAGTGGGAGGTGAGCCTCACCCCGAGGCTATCATTTGGTCTTTGTTTTATTCCTGGCTTGAATTGTTCTAGCTTTTCCTTCTTTTTTTCAGATCGTTCATTTGTACGTGCCTTTGAGTTTACCTACGTCAATGTTTACGGCACTCACGTTATGGTAAGTGCTGCGCATGAAGCCAGAGTGGAGAAATTTATATACGTCAGCACAGACGAAGTCTATGGGGGCAGCCTGGATCAGGTAAGCTTAGAAAAATTTCCTTTCACCTGTTCACCACAGGCCATGACGCAAGGGCCACATCCTCTCACTGGATCCCCCCTGGAGCTTTTTCCATCTTATAATTGTTGTCACCAGTGGGACTCTCCAGAGTGTCACGCAGTTGTATCTTCTGTTCAGTAAAATGATGCCACCCCAACTGAGGAAAAGCAGCCTGCTCTGGGTAGAGCTGGACAGGGCGGGACTGACAATATTTTGCAGGAAAGCAGCAGATCTCAGCTTTTTAGCTGAGCCTTACTTGATGACTGTCACTCGTGGGGCCAAAGTACTTCTGAGTTAGGCCACCAGGTCCTCCCCTCACCTTTCTCTTGCACTCAAAAAAAAGTACACTGGTACGTCGAGGACTAAGTGTGAAATGACTGTAGAAACTGGAATCTGTTCTCTCTTTTTAATCATTTTTAAATTTTATACTTTGTGTCCAAAAAGATGGGTCCATTCACCAGTTTCTATTTTTCATAGTGTTTGCAGCAACCTTATTTTGTTTTATCTTTCCTCTGTCCACCCATCCTTCCTTCCATCCATCCATCCATTCATCCATCCATCCATCCATCCATCCATCCATCCATCCATCTATCCATCCATCTAAACCCAAACACCTACATAATGAAAAAAACATTCACACAGAAAGTCCTCACATAACATTATCAGCAGATTCTCAGAAACAGTAGCTTTAAAGGAAACAGCATATAATGAAAGCAGGTCTTTCAACAACCTTGTTTAACTAGACATGGGTTCAGCTGTATTTTTCCTTATCAAAGTTGTAGCAAAATGACAGACATTGAACATAACATTATTCAAGGACCTCCTATAGTTTGAAAGACTTAGAATGAGAACAAGCAGACCCCAAACACTTCTCAGTCCCACCTCTGAGAAGCAACTATTTTCAACTTTCTTTGCAGTTTTTAATCAGGTAAACTTCTTCCTTCTCAGACCCTACATCAGATCTGACACAGCAACAGAATAATTTTAAAAATATAAGTCAGATTATGACCTTACTCTGCTTAAAACTTGATCATGTTTTGACAGTAGACCTTCAAGGGTCTACATGTCCTAGCCTTCCTTCTGCCTCAGGGCCTTTGCACGAGCTCTTCTTTCTGCCCGCCTGGTAGAGTTTGGTGAATTTTAAAGAAGTTAGTTTATATCAAATGCCTAGAAAAATGCCAGTCACATTTTTCAGTATTTCTTACTGTATTTCTTACTGTAAGAATTTCAGTAAGTATTTCTTTAAAATGTAAAGAGATTATAGTGATTAACCTTTCAAATTTGTGACATATTTTCTGATTTTTCTACTTCAGAAGTATGCATAATACTGATTTTAAAAATATATCTTTTTAAAATTAGGAATTTGATGAATCTTCCCCCAAACAGCCTACAAATCCTTATGCATCATCTAAAGCAGCTGCTGAATGTTTTGTACAGTCTTACTGGGAACGATATCAGGTAGGAACTGATTTCAGAAACTCTTGAGTCATTTTTCTTTGGATGTAGGAGTTAGCACTCCAAGTTAGCATTAGCAACATTTCATTTTTAGAGTAGAAGCCATAGATTAAGAAAAGTTATAGGTTAAGAATTAAAACAAACTGATTTCCTATATATGTGGGCAAAGTTAGAGCTGCTGCTTCCTGTTTAGGTTTGTCATTCAAAGAGATGATTTCTTAAGATTTTTTTTCTTCCTACTTTACTCATAGTGGTGTCACAGCTAAAGTGAAAACCCCTGTTAGGATGTCTTGCTTCCCAGACTCCTGTGAGTGAATGAGGGAGGGAGATTCCTTTAGGGTGGTCTTCTCCCCAATATTCAGCTCTCTTAGCTCCTCATGAAGGGGAGGTGGAGTCACCCCAAGTGGCTCTGATATTGTCAGTGGGGGAACTTTACCCACTACGAATCTCCAACTCATATCCCCTACATTTAACTTCCCACCAATCTTTTGACATGTTGTGACAGGATCAGAAAGGTAAGCTGAGGAATCAACAAAAATTCTCTCACCTTCTGTGTCCTGGCAGCACAGTCCTTCCCTTTTTATGGTAACTGTCTTTATTTGTAAGGGTTGGTATAACAGAGAGAGCCCACTCGAAGTATAACACCAGGTCAGACCTAGAATCTTAGAGGGGGTCTCTGAAATTACTAGGTGCAAGAGTCCTCATTCCCTATCAGACTTACAAACCGTCTCCTTCTGTATAGATGCGCCTTTGCCCCACTGAAGAGGCTATTCCTCTTCTTATTTTTGGAAACTCTGTTTTTACCTGAATCACATCCTCACCTGTCTTTTGGAACCTGACATTAGAGAAACAATTCCCTCTGCTACTGTCTTTAACATGTGTGGAATTTTCTTGCTTCTGTCTTTAACATGTGTGGAATTCTCTTGCTTCTGTCTTTAACATGGGTAGAATTCTTTTTTTTCCCCATTATAATTAATTAACTTTTTTTTTTCTTACATGTTTGTAGTCCTCATAGTTCTCCCGCCACCAGGTCACGCGTGAGTCATCACCATAATGCCTTGTGTTCTTCCCGCCTCTGTTTTGACCCCTGCTTCTCCCTCCTTTGTTGGATGCCTCAGATCTATGGTCAGCTTGCTAGTTTTGACTTTTTTCTTGATCTTTTGTTTAGTTTCTTTATATTCCACATATAAATGAGACCATCCAATATTTATCTTCTCCCTTCTGACTTATTTCGACTAGCACAATCCCTTCCAGCTCCATTCATGTTGTTGCAAATGGCATGAATTTGTCTTTTTTTGATTGCTGAGTAATATTCCATTGTATAGATATACCACATCATTTTGATCCATTTGTCTATTTTGGAGCATTTGGGTTGTTTCTTGGCTATTGTAAATAGTGCTGCAATAAACATATGAGTGCAGGTTTCCTTCTGAATTAGTGTTTTTGTGTCCTTTGAATAGATTCCTAGGGGAGGAAATTGTTGGATCATATGTAGATCCATTTTTGGTGTTCTGAGGAACTTCTAACACGTGTGGAGTTCTTTAGCCAAAAAGTGCCCATACCTGATAATTGTCTGTCTCTGGATAAGCATTGTTATTGGGCCTTTCATGATTTTTTTTTTTTTTTTAAATTTTTTTTTTTTTTTTTTAATAGAGGCATGCTTTTATTTATTTATTTGTTTGTTTGTTTTGTTTATACATGCACTGGGTACAGTCAGAAGCACGGGAGGGTGGGAGAATTCACCAGAGCCAGAGCGGGGAGCAGAGCAGGCAGAAGGACCGAAGTACACTGCTGAGGGGAGCAGCGGGCGGCAGGAGAGGTCTGCGCGCCATGTGGGACCCTCCTCTGGTGGCCGGGGAGCAGCCGGGGATCGAACCAGCGCTGCAGAGGCCGTGGGCAGCTTCGCAACCCAGCGCTCAACCGCTGCGCCACCGGGGAGGCCCCCTTTCATGATCTTAATGTCAAATCCTCTTTAAGTTTCCAGTTGTCATCACAAGAAGCAGTAATGTCTATGGACCACATCAGTATCCAGAAAAGGTACATTTTACTTCTGAATCCATAATGTACTTTAGTGATTGTAACTTCTCATCATTGAGAGTAATTGCTCTTCAGTTATTAGTCCAGGATAACCTGTGTCGTAAATATGCATACTTGTATGTGCTCTGTAGCCCACATTCAGGTCTCATCAGGGACAGCGCCAAGACTTGAGTGTAAGCTCCCACTCCATACTCCCAGCTGGCATGACCTTCGACTCTTTGAGTACTCTTTAACTTGGGGGGTAACGATATACTTAGAAAGGAGTTTGAAGGACCCGTGAGATGATACCATGATAATACACACAATGATGCCTTGTACTTGGTGGGATCCTAAAGTGCAGGTAGCGAAAAACAAACATCATTAAAAAGTGGAAAATATTGAGTCCAATTTTAAGAAACTATCACTCTTTCTGCTTAATTCAGAGACTGGATTTTTTACTTCCCGGCTGGCTGCATTGATCTCTTGGCCCACAGGGAAGAGCCTTATGATCCACTGGTTATTAGTAGTTACTTTGCTTAACATCTGGAGTATCTTTAACAGGTCTACTGTACATTTAGATATTTCTTATTTTGCCTTGTTTAACAAATTTCTTTGACTCCAGGGCACTGGAATTGATTTTTTACTGATTTCACAGCAGTGATTGAATAGGTGCTCTGGATAAAGTACTAATAGATGTGATTCCTGCCCTGATAACATGGTCAACACAGAAGTGAGCTTTGTGTTGAGTGCAAACTGTTCGTGGAAACGTATTCTGAATTTTTCCACTATGTTGTTTTATTTTCATATTTGCCTAGCACATCATTTGTTTCTTTTGGAAATAAGAAGCTCTCTTAGAGTTCCTTACTTATCAAAAGTATGGTTGCTTTTTTCTTGAACTCTTGATAAAAATTAGTATTCATAGATCTATATTTCTTACATTGCTTTTGGATTCATATTAATGTGAAATTCCATTAAAAGTGAAATTCCAAAGTCTGAAGTAATATTTACATGTTCTTATAGGTTATTCCAAAATTTATATCTTTACTACAACACAACAGGAAATGGTATGTTATCGTTTACCTTTGTACTCATGTTTTTCTGGCATGTTGATAGTATTTGGTGACAGTCTTTTTTGCAAATCATAAAGTCTTAAAGATGGAAAGCATGAATTGAATGTCCTAACAAATTTTAGAGTGCTTTCTACAATCACTGTAATCGGTTTTTTAAATAGTTATAGCCTCTAGTTCATCTTTATAATTTACTTGCAAAGATAGTTTCAAGTCTCAAACAATCTATCCCAGAACTTTAACTTATGACATTAAAATTTGACATGTATCTTTATAGAATTCTACTTTTTCAAATGATTTATTTAGTTCCTAGGACTGTAGAAGTTTCTTCAAAGTAAATTTAAGATATAAACTTGACAAATATTCTTGGGGTCACTTCTATGTTTGCCACTTCCCTACTGAATGCCCTCAGAAAGTGTGGAGATGGCTTAAAAATTATGGATATGTTTAAGAAAAGTTACAAGAACTTGTGTTTTCACTAAAAGAGTTCTAGGATGCCCTGGGAATTGTCTTCTCTGGATTTGGGAAAGCATTATGATTCCTTTTCATTTGATCTTTTTAGCTGCATTCATGGATCTGGGCTTCAGACAAGAAACTTCCTTTATACTACTGATGTAGTGGAAGCATTTCTCACTGTTCTCAAAAAGGGGAAGCCAGGAGAAATTTATAACATTGGAACCAATTTTGAAATGTCCGTTGTCCAGCTTGCCAAGGAGCTGATACAACTGGTGGGTGTCTCTTGTGAAAGGACAATAGTTTCAAATTGTCACAGAATCAGCAGTGGACAATCCACTCAAATGAAAAGTGCACAAGTGAAAAATGAACTTTGAGAATGTTTATACCATGTTTATGTTAAGATACTTCCTTTTTTGAAGTTATATCGCTACTCACTTAGTAACAACTTTTCAGGGAAAAAAATCCTAATACATTTAAGCATTCAGACCCATCCTAAGACCCTCCTCAGTTTTAGAAATATAAAATGATGTGTCTTAGGCTCAAAGAACAATGATATATAAATGACTATACTTATGAGAGTTTGTAGGTATCAGGAATCGTCAATTATAAATCTCAGGCAGGTTGAAAGGGAGACTGAGTATGTGAAGATGCTTCCTTATACGCTCCTCACGGAACACTGCACTCTCCAAATTGTGGGTTTTCCACGCCAAGCAATTCTCAGATACCAGCAGGGTGTCCTGCAATTTCATGCAATTCTGACATTACCTAGAGAAATTGTTAGATCCTGCAGATTAAGGGGTCTGTCCCACGAGACCATCCTCTCTTCTGGTCCCAATAGTGAGGCCGGGCTGCCACCTGGGATTCTGACCCACTCGATGCAAAAGTCTGTTAGACTCTTTCTGGAAAGCAGATTACTTACTAGAGTGTACCACTTTTTTTTTTTTTAAATAAAGAATATAACTTAGGAATTCCTAAGTGGAGGAGATGCATAGGGCAAGTATTCAGCAGCCTAGAAGCTTCTCCCAGTCCATTCTCTTGGGTTTCCATGGAGGCTTCATTAAGTGGGTATCGTTGATCAAATCATTGACTAAGGGAGGAATTCCTGTATGCTTCCCATTATATATCAAAAGTATGTATTTTCTTACCATAGATCATTATATCACCCTGAGTGATAACCAAAAATCCCCAAATTTTCATTTTCTACCATATTTTATATAGATACTGTGCATTCTGAGCCTTAGGTGGAGCTGAAATGATAAAGTATAGAAAGCATCATTAAAATGCTGTTCAGTAAGCTGTCTCCCCAGCTTTGAGGAGATTGCTTTTGTCTTTTGAATCAGCCACTGGGTGCCATTGCTATTCTCTGTCTCATGTACAGTTTGACTCAAAATCCTTCTCCCTTTTGACAGATCAAAGAGACCAATTCAGATTCTGAAATGGAAAACTGGGTTGATTATGTTCATGACAGGTGTGTCACAAGTTAAAGCATTGGTCGGGGGAGGGGAGTTGTGTAATCTCAGCTACTGATAACATTGTATAAGTTATATAACTTTTGGACTCAACAAGAAACTAATTCCTCTCTTTTGAATTTTCTGCTAAAGTATTTTTTTTATAATTATAAATGTCATAAGAATAATGTATGGTCTTATTACTTACTAGCTATGTGGCTTAAAGAGTGTTGATTCTTTCTTATAGAAATAGTAATCTGGGAATAATATTTTGTTTACAGAAGTATTTTAAGGCTCTGCATTCATACACAGATGGTGGTTGAAATAAAAAAATGATAAGGCACAGAGAGGGCTAGTCATCTGGGATTAATGTATCACAATGTATCATAATAGATTGTGTTAATAACAATATATAAGGTAAATATAGTTTAATATATGCTTTATTTTACAAATTTTCTGTAATAAGCATGTCATCAGGCAGAAACTTTTTACCAAAAAAATTGATTTATGATAAAGATGCATGAACACTCATCATTTCTTAGTATTTAAATCTGTAAATACATATATCCATGATGTCACTTTCAATCTGTTTTGTTTTCCAAGACCTACCAATGACATGAGGTATCCAATGAAGTCAGAAAAAATACATGGCTTAGGGTGGAGACCTAAAGTGCCTTGGAAAGAAGGAATAAAGAAAACAAGTATGTGCTGAATTGATCATTTGGGTGGAGGAGGGATTCAGAAAAATGTAAAAGAAAAGTAAATTATTTTCAGAATTCTACAAATTCAGCAGAATATTATGATTAATCATTTTGACTTTCAAATTGTTACATCAAATGCATTTCTATTAAAAGCAATAGTAGTGGAGGGCCCAAGCATCTTCAGTTTCAAAATTCTGATCACTCTTCCTGTGTTACTAGCATTTATCAGAGTTAAATTTCATTGATTCTTAGCTGCACATTATTTTGCGTCTTTTTACATCCTGGAAAGGTGTGTGTTTTATGATTACCTTTGTCTTATAATTACTATTGCAGCTTTTCTCATTTCTTAGTGCTGTGTTAAGTAATGGCCCATCTTAAGTGGCTAGAGTTGATGAAATAAACAGAATTGAGTCTCTGAGTGTCTTGAGTTTTTTAATATTGAAGCGGGTAGGAAAATCATTTAGTATGTGCCGAAATATAAGTATGTAAAATGTTTTTGTATAAATGTTAATTTAGAACTTCAAGCTCAAACTATAAAGTATTTGTGCTGAATTTTAAAAATTCAATTCAATTATGTTTTAATTGAATTTGTTTTTTAACTAAAAAACTTTATTGATAGTATAGCGACATAAAATAATTCTGTACATTAACAGATAGACGCTCACATCATCTTGTATTCCTATACTGCAGTGTTGCTACGGTTACATCAACAAACTGCTACACTTTTTCTCTATAACTTTAAAATCAGTACAGATGATTTATCTCCTATCTCCCTTCCTCCTGATTTCTTAAAACTAGAATGGCCTAAACACTTAATACCAGCAAATTTCTTATTGAAGGGCCTTTGAATTTAAAAAGAAAAAACAATAGTTGATTTTAATGCTAAGTTTTCTTCTAGATTACTTCATTAGTTAGATCAAAATCAAGTTTTTTTGTCATTAGGCAGCCCTTGCCTACTAATTAACTGATGACAAGCCTTTCTTTACTTAGCAGGAATGTGGTAAAGTGTTGGCAAACTGATGTTTAGTTTTTTGACTTCTGTCTCTTGTTTTTTCCTATCAGTTGAATGGTACAGTGAGAATTTTCACAACTGGAAAAATGCAGAGAAGGCACTAGAACCCTTTCCAGTCTGACCTAGCACCTGTAGTCGGGACAGTTTTCAGAGAAAGAACCTTACCCTACCTCGGCTAGTGAAGCGAAATCAAGGGACTGAATGGCGTGTCCTCTCTTCATTCCGAATCAGAATCATGACTTCTGTAAAATTGAAAAGCAGAATGCCTCAATCCTGAGAAGAGTTTTAATACTGGCATCGGATTTAAGTATTGAAATCTTTCCAGAAGACTTTTCTTTGGAAAATTAGGGCCAGGAGGTAGAGAAAGATCCTCCCTGAGGCTGGGGTTGGGGAAGGAAGGTCTCTCAGCTCCGAGGCCAAGGACACAAGGTCAGTTCAAAGCTGGGCAGATGAAGGATTTCCTTGGGGATCTCACTCAGCTTGCAAACTTCCCACTGCCCAGAAAGTCTCTTTGTAAATAATATAGGATGAGCCCTGTGCCTTAATTCATCTTTTTGTAAGGTCTGATGTTGTTTTGTTTATAAAAATGGAGCAAAGTGGAAGCCTGTCTAAGCACTTTTTAACTTTTGATAATTTCATTAAGTTAATAATTTTTTTAAATGATGCTGTTTTTCATTGTCTCAAAATCAGTCACTGAACTATATATAAAAGTAACTATGTATCAGAGGAGTTTTATCATGTATGTACTGGTTAAAATTATTTATAAAATTATCAGTATTTTAATGTAATTTAATGTAGAATAGGACTTTTTTTTTAAATGTATGTTTTTATTTTGCTTTTGAAAATTTTTTAAATACTCGATCATGTATTTTTTATTCCTCTCTCCCCTAATGACTTGAAGATCATTTGAAGAAGTAATTGACTGCATTGAGAAAGGGAAATACTTGACCTCACAGAAGTCCCCGGTGCTATGGAAGGTGGATACCGTGACATTCTGCAGGGCACTCAGGACATCCTCTCTTTGGAGACCAGAACCAGTTAACATATTCCCGAAGGAAAGTTGTAAGCAGCATTTTTTATTTGATTTTTTTTAAATAACAAGCTCCACTTTGAAGGAAAATCAAAGCGCTGCCTCTAATATTGCCCTTTGGCCTTTTGCTGTGGGGAAGGGGCCTCGGGTTCCTTAGCTCCCTGTATAGACTTTCAACCTTTCAACCAAGCCACTTACTCTCCGTCCAACACCTTACTCTCCCGACCCTCCGTGTTCACCTTCCATAGCGCCTGGACTCCCGTGAGGTCAAGTATCCCAATGTAGAGCTTCCAAGAAGAATTTTCGGAATAACGTGTGACTTATGTCTAAAGGACCAACTAGAGTTAGTAGAGGACATATTCTCTACTGAGGATGATTCTAGACAGAAGGTATAGTAAATGGTATGTTCAGAGAACTTCAGTCACATACCTCTAGACACTCATTCTCAAAAGCTGTCCCCAGTTCATTAGGATTATGTAAATAGAAACTGTAATGAAAGGCCACTTCACCCTTATTAGGATGGCTATTATCTATAAAAGAAAAAATAAGTGTTTGGTAAAGATGTGTAGAAATTGGGTCCCTGTGCGCCATTGGTGGGGATGTAGAATGGTGTACCACTGTGGAAAATGATATGGCAGGGTCTCAAAAATTGAACATAGCATTACCGTGTGATCCAGAAATTCCGCTTCTAGGTATTCACCTAAAGCAGGTGAAAGTGGGCAGTTGCTGTTTGTGCACCCATGTTCATGGCAGCCTTAGTCATAACAGCCAGAAGTGGAAACAACCCAAATGTACTTTTATAGAGGAATGGATAAATAAGGTGGGTATATACAAATAATGGAATATTGTGATTTCTCTTATGTGAGGCAGCTAGAGCAGCAAATTCATAGAGACAGAATGTAGAATAGACGTTTCCCAGGGGCTGTAGGCAGAATTCACAAGGGGAAAGTGGTGAGGAGAGCTGGTTACTATTGAATGGGTACAGAGTTTCTGTTTGGGATCATAAAATAGTTTTGAAAGTAGATAAGACCAACATTGAACAACACTGTGAATGTGTTTAATGTCAGTGAATTTTACACTTGAAAATAGTTCAAATGGTCAGTTTTAGGTTGTGTCTATTTTACAACAATAATTTTTTTTCATTTGAATGTTTTAATTATGTTTAATAAATGCATGTTCGTTCTCAGCTTTATGTTTAGATGCCTATGGATTTGGGCAATGAGGTCTAACTTTATTTTTTTTTCTTTTTATTCATTTGTTTATTTTAACATTTATGATTTTTTTAATTTAAATTTTATTTTTATATTCCCCATACAATTACAACCCCCTTATTTTGACCCCAAGCCCTCCTTTCCCCACCCCCCACCCCCCATAGAGTGTCTCTGGTTCATAGTTACAACAATAATTTTTAATATGTGTCCCCAGACCAGAGTATCCATGTCACTGGTCAGAAATCAGAGAAACTCTGGCTGTGGGCCCAGTAATTCTGATGCACCCTAATGCCTGAGAAACTCTATATTATGATAAGAGATGAGGTGGGTGACATGAGATGAGAGGAGTGAGGTGGTAAGGTCATGGGGGGCCATGTCTGCCCCCCAAAAATGCTTGGACCTCTTCCTGCCGGCAGAGCTAACTTAGGATTTTAAGGAAGAAATTGATATCAGTAGATTTGTGGAATTTTCTATTTCCTGATTTCAAAATTATCTGTGCTCATTGTAGAAAGCTCAGAAAACTGAACCAATAATATAATGAAAATCATCCATGCTCTGCCACTGGAAGATAACCCCATTCATTTATTTCTTAGAGCATATACCCACATTTTTTTAAACCAAATATGGGATCATAATGGACATACTGTTTCAGAGTCTGCTTTTTTTCACTAAGTAATATATCATGAATGTTACGAGATCTTTTGCCATTTTTACTGACTCCAGAATTATGTTTCTGATAGCTTATTCTGGCAACAGCATGAAAGATGAATTTAAGGAAGGCAAGATTGAGCTCCTGCAGGTATCCAAGTTATGAAGCTGTTGCAGTAAATCAAGCTGGTGGTGACAAGGCCTAACACACAGCACTATAAACAGGGTAGTGTTGGGGACAGATGGGCAAATTCTTTAGATTAAAAAACTTGTTGATTGATTATACATGGGAGGTGCACTTTCTTGACTTCATCACTATTGAATTGGAAAGACTAGAGGATAGTAAATTATATTTGCAAAATGTTGAGCTTTAGAGATCTGTGGTATACCTGAGTGGGGGTATCTAACTAAAATGTGGATGGGGGAGTTCACTGTTCAACATGCAGAGATGCATATTTGGGAGTTAAATGGTGATTACCAACTGAGTTTGGATAAAATACTCCCCCCAGGAGAGCACACAAATGCCGGGGTTGATGGTGGATGGCACAATTCACAGACCAGTCACAAGAAGTACCAAGTTCCAAGTTCCAGGCAGATGAGATTAAAAAAAAAAAAAAAAGATCAGGGCAGTGGACTAGAACAGGAGGAAATAATACCGCAGATGTCAAGGGGTAGACATTCAATAACAAGCAGGAGGCCAGCTGAAGTTCAGTAGTAGGGAGACTTAAATAGCCCCTGTTGGCTTTAGCAATGTACAAGCAAATTTTCTAGAGTCATTTAGTGGAATCTAAGAGCTGGTTTTGGTTTTGTTTTGTTTGTCCATTTGTTTTGTCTCATTATCTGCCACATAGAATGAAATCATATGGTATTTGTCTTTCTGTCTAGTTTCCCTTAGCAGCATCCCCTCAAGGGCCATTCATGTTGTCAAGAACATCAGGATTTCATGGTTTTTTTTTTTTAAAGATTTATTTATTTATGCATACAAGAACTGGTGTGCAAGCCAGAGGTGCCGGGTGTGTGTGTGTGTGTGTGTGTGTGTGTGTGTGTGTGTGTGAGAGAGAGAGAGAGAGAGAGAGAAAGAGAGAGAGGATTCACCAGAGAGTGGGGAGCTGAACAGGAGGATTGACTGAAATACACTGCTGAGGGGAGCAGCGGGTGAGTCAGGAGAGGTCTGCTGCTCCATGTGGGTAGCTCCCTCGCCTGGGAGGGAACTCAGGCCATAATGGTGCTAGCACTGAATCTTAACCCTGAGACCACCAGCAGGCCCTTATTCCTCTTCATTTGTCTCTGCCTCTCTTCCTCTCTCCACATGCACATACTCTGTCCATCCCCCCTCCCTTGCTGTTTGACACACCACTGTTTGACTGCATAAGACTCATTCCTAGAAATTCAAACTTGAAGAAAGAAGTAAACCAGGTTTTTTTTGAGGGGGTGGGAAAGTAAACCAGTTTTGCAAGTACTGATTTCCTTTATGTTTTTCTGCTTAGGCGGACTAATCTTTTTTTTAAGATTCATTTATATATGCATACAAGAACTAGGGTACAGGCCACCAGGGAGGTCCCATAGACTGATCTTTAATCCTCACTTCGGTGCTTCTTTGTAGACATTTCTGTGTTTTGAATACTTGTTCCTTGATCTTTTTTGAGTTTTAATAGTCAATATTCCTAATACAGTTGTGTTTACAACTAAACTATGTTTTAATTGACACACTCTTAAAAAGATGAGTTTTACTCAATGGTGGACAATATTCTTTTTTATCAATATAATCTTTATTTCTTAAATTCAGAGAGTGGAAAGCTCCTTTTTCCTGACAATAGGTCAATTTTAAGGGACAAAAGAAGCAACTGTCCTCTAAGGTCTTGATTGTTTATTACTGGGAAGCCCAATTAAATGTATAGTAACAATTCTCTGCTTATTCCCTCATCTATTGACATTGAATGAAACATTGCATTGTTCACATAATGAAGGTAGCCATGAGACTTAACCATAGAACTCTAAGAGGAGTGCACATTTCAGATTTGAATTCTGAATAAAAATTATAGAGACCAGAAATATTAAATAAAATAAGCCAAACAAGCTCTTGAGGAACACTTTCTATTTCCAGCAAATTTTAAAGCTTTGGTTAAATGGTTCTGGAGTCCTGCCCTTCATATTTTTAAAAATAAAATTACCTTAGGAATAACAAAGCGGTTTTTCTTTGAGGAATGAAGCTCAAAGTAATTTGTTATATCATATATCAAATGAAAATTCCACATGCTAATATTTAGAAATACACAGTTCCCTTCAATTAATCTTCTCCTCTGCATATATTCATTTTGTGTTCACAATGTTCTAATATGAAGTATGAACCTTTCTGACTTATTCTGCAAGTATTTCAACTATCATTAAAAAAAGAGCAGTGTAACACATAGCTAAAATTAAATCATTTCAAAATTCTCAGGAGTTGAAATTGTGATTGCCTAAGTTAATGGACTAATCAAACCATAGTTTTAGATGATATTTCTGCAATATTCTAATTACTGCAATCTGATTTTCCTTAGTAATTGTGAAGGTCAAAACTGAAAGCCTGATTCAAAAAGGAAATTAAAAGTTAAGAATAAAAGACAAGAAAGACATTTTTATCCCCAACATATGTCATGATAGATTATTAAATTGACCTTGTAAAATAAAAGAAAGATTTTGCTATAAATCACATTAGCTTTGGCGACAAGGTACTGAAACTGAAATAGCATTTTCCATTTAATTGTCTTAGTTTTCAATAAAGGTGATTCATTATAAAACCCACAAAAGTTATATCTACATATGTTTTGTTATGATTTTGTAAAGTTTTCATATGCATAAAAGCAAA